GTCGTTGGTAGGTTTTGAGCTTGCGCAAGTCCGACACAACATATTTCGATTGTGTTGTAGTAATCACTTTGGCCAGGAATCTCCGAGGAAATGTCCATCAGTGAATCTTCAAGGCGTGTTCTGAGACAAAAACCTCGTTGGCAGGTTTTGAACCTGGTACAGTCCAAGAGACAGATTTCGATTCTGTGATAGTAACCACGTTGGCCAAGGCAAAGTTGAGAGGAACCTCTGAGGAACTGTCCATCAGCGAATCTTCAAGGCGTGTTCGGATAGAAAAAACCTCGTCAGCAGGTTTTGAACCTGCACTGGTGGTGTCAGTCCAAGAGACAGATTTCGATTCCGTGGCAGTGACCACTTTGGCCAGGGCGAAGTTGAGATAAGCTTCTGAGGAATTATCCATCAGTGAATCTTCAAGGTGTGTTCGGATGAAAAAAAAACTCATTGGTAGGTTTTGAACCTGCACTGGTACAGTCCAAGAGACAGATTTTGATTATGTTGCAGTAACCACTTCAGTCAGGGCGAAGTTGCTCCGAGGAATTGGGCGTGTTCCGATAGAAAAAAAAACCCTGTTGTTCGGCAGGTTTCGAACCTGCGTATTAGTCACGTCCAAGAGAAACGGATTTTGATTCCGTTGTGATAACCACTTTCGCGAGGACGGCGTTGAGACGAACCTCCAAGGAACTGTCCATGAGTGAATCTTCAAGGCGTGTTCCGATAGAAAAACATCCTGTTGTTCGGCAGGTTTCGAACCTGCGAAGTACAAGAGAAACAAATTTTGATTCTGTTGTTTTAACCACTTGGGCCAGGACGCTTGCTGGCGCAGTTTAGACGAACCTCCGAAGAACTGTCCATGTCGACAGGTTTCGAATCCGCAAGAGAGCAGATTTCTAATCTGTTCTGGTGCCAAACGGTTAGCTATGCCTACTCAAGATAGGCCTTGAAAAATCCATCCATGAGTTGAATGTTCAAGGCGAGGTAAAAGGAAAAAGATTGTTTGTCCTGTCACGTTTGGCTTAGCTGCTAGGCTGCTAAGACTGGTCAAGATAGACTCATTCGGTTACAAGTCGAAAAACATCATGCATAGTCATTCCGCGTCACAGGCGCATCAGGACCGCGTCAATTTCACCTGGTCCGAGGATGTTCTTCACTGGCTATTTTTGTCACAATCACCTGTCAGGTCGAAATTCAAATGCTTATCTGCAACAAATATTGCCTCGAGGCATAACTTATAAATGATGATGTGGGTCTCTTATCTCCCCTTCAACGTTAACTGCTATTCACAATGAAGAAAGGCAAATCGTCGAAAGATTCAACTCAACAAACCCGCAAATCTAGTGAAGCAACAGCTGGTCAAAGTTCGGTACGTGGTTTTCGAGGATCACTTCATCCACTCCAAACACTGACATTGACTCATCCTTCGTCTAGCACCGACCCCGTGGTATCGGTCGGTTTCTGAAGAAGGTCAAGGACAAGTTAAGAACGTCGGTAAGTCCACGAGCATGTGTAATGAGTGTCCTGGAATACGACTAAGATTCGCATAAGCGCTCGAAGGTTTTCTCCCAGCCGCAGCGCTGTTCCCCCGAATGTCGATCATGAACATGCTTCATCGACCTCGGTAGGTTCTTATACTTGCCATCCAGTTTCTGCGCTTTCTCTGAAATCATTCTTGTGGTCGCTCAGGTTCAGGCGGCTCCTTCTGGTGTGAAAGTGGAGGCTGATGCCCAATTGACGCTTCAGGATGCTCAAGAGGCTGTAGAGGACACGCATTCACTTTCGAGACACGCGACAACCGCGATCTCCGTTCTTCAAGGCGCACAACAGGGTCTCGATGATTTTGACAGTTTCCAGGCCACATATCTCCAACCCCTCAGGATATTCGACGGCGTTATCGGAGAGATTGCGAATGTATGCAGGTCCTCCTCTCGATCGGAACCGAATTAATCTAGTTCCACAGGTACATCCATATGCAAAGATGGCACTGGGCGTGTTGTCTTCTGCAGCCAAAGTATGTTTTCATTTTCTCTCATCCCATCTCCCACCGCTCATCAATCATCTGTGTAGATTATTCTAGCGCAAGTGGATCGCGACAAAGCGGTACACGAACTTCTCGACAAGTTACGTGAAGTTTACAGCTTCATAACACAAGACAAGATGCTTGAGCAAATCTCGTCGATGCGCATCATCCTTGGACAGATATCTCAGCAGACCCTTAAAAGTGCTCAATTCATCGAAACTTATTCGGAGACCAAGAACTTTTGTGAGTCTTAACGAGCTGTTGCGCTTTGTACCGTCTTAAGTTTCTACCGTATCATAGGGAAGAGGCTCGGAAAGAATGTTGTCTCGGAAACGAACGATACGATCCAACAGCACAGTAAGGCGTTGGACACGCTCATGCAAAACTTTCGGGACCAAGTCACTCGCGACCTAGCCGTACATGTCCACGACATAGCCAATCATGTACACCATACGGGTAAGGTTCAGACGTGCTTGTTGCTTGACATATATTCATACCCTTTCAGACGAAACATTGGACCTCAGCGGTATGACTTATGCAAAAGGCGCGGGACTAGATACCAGGAAACAATGCCTTGAAGGGACGCGCACGGAAATCCTTTCCCAGATCACAGAATGGGTCAACAGCACTGGGGACAACGTTCAACGCGTGCTGTGGCTATCTGGCCCTGCAGGCAAGGGCAAATCGGCCATCGCCCACACTCAGTTTGCAAAGTGGTTCAACGACGCGGGAGGGCTTGGTTCGTGTTACTGTTTTGACCACCAGCGAAAAGCAGATCGTCGCCATGAAAAAATCTTTTCCACGATCGCGCAGGACCAGGCTGACCGTGATCCAGAGATGAGGCGGGCATTAGCAGATGCAGTTCAGGCCACGACTTCGCTCAAGAAGACGGCGGATATCATCCAGCAGTGGCAGAAGCTTCTTGTCGAACCACTGAAAAAGTCATCTAGGTTAACTAAGGAACCCATCGTGATCGTGATCGATGCACTGGACGAGAGCGGTGGAGTAGAGACACGGAAAGACCTCCTCCGCATTCTAGCTGGAAAACATCAAAACCCCTCCGTTCCCAAAATCACAGACCTTCCTGGCAACTTCCGCTTCATTGTTACCCTCTCGCCCACTAGGTGACATCAATGACGAGTTTCAAGGTGTTCGGCATATTCAACAGATGTCGATGAATGATATTCCACGAGCAGTTGCAGAGCGCGACATCCATGCTTACGTATCCAAGGAGTTGGAAGTGTGCCATTTTCAGGACAGAGAGTTTACAGTCCTCGCTGAGAAAGCTGATGGACTTTTCGAGTGGGCGCGTCTCGCTTGCGCATACATCAAAAAGTCCCATACTGGGCTATCTCCAAAGGATTGCTACGAGGCTGTAGTGTCACGCGATCCTACTGAGAGAAGCCCGCTGTTGCACAACGTGTATCACCTCATTTTAACAGATATCATGCACGAGGATACATCTCCACACACGCCGAAACTTCGTTCGATAGAGCTAGCAAGATTTCGCTCAGTAATGGGACAAATACTAGGCACAGCTGAACCCCTTCCTTTAGCATCCCTGAACGCCATGAGGCACCATTTTGCAAAGCGAGAGGACCAGTTCGACGTGGAGTTTGTGGTAAAAAGTATGGGCTCCCTCCTCAGCGGCACTACCAACCCAGATTCCCCAATCCGACCCCTTCACGCATCCTTTCATGATTTCTTGACGGACGAAACATCCAGTGGAGAGTTTTTCATCGACCTGTCAAATGCGCAACGCGACCTTGCATTCGCATCACTTCGAGTGATGAAAGACGGTCTTCGCTTTAATATCTGTGATTTAAAGTCGTCGTATCTGCCTAATAGCAAAGATCCCGGGCTGCAAGAACGAGTTGAAAATCGCATCCCCAAACATCTATCATATTCCTCTCGATTTTGGATGTCACACGTACGAACCACACCCTTTGACAAGGAGCTCGCGAAAGAAGTGCAATCGTTATTCGATCACGAGCGGCTGTTTTTCTGGCTCGAGTTACTCGCCTTGATCAATGCGCTCAGCGGTGCAGTTCCCGCCCTCTCACTCATTCCCCAGTGGCTGAAGGTGAGCACACTGCTACCGGGTGTCAGATAAAGCGCTCATGCGCAACCACAGGGCCATTCCGAACTCAAAGATGTCTCGTCGACTGCAATGGACATACAGAGATTCATTCAAGTCTTCGGTGGCCTGATTTTACACAGCACGCCACATCTGTATGTATCAGCACTCCCATTCTCGCCTGCCAACTCTCCGTTATCGAGAATGTTTTCTGCACGGTTTCCGAATACTCTTCGTGTGGCATGTGGACGTGATATGAATTGGCCAGCTGTTCAGACCGTGCTAATGGGGCACACCTCTTCAGTTTGGTCGGTCTCGTTCTCGCCGGACGGCACTCGCATTGTCACTGGTTCGGACGATAAGACTATTCGGCTGTGGGATGCAGGGACGGGGGAGCCAGTCGGTGAGCCCTTGCGGGGGCACACCTCTTTAGTAACGTCGGTCTTGTTCTCGCCGGACGGCACTCGCATCGTCACTGGTTCTTCGGATGAGACTGTTCGGCTGTGGGATGCAGGGACGGGGGAGCCAGTCGGTGAGCCCTTGCGGGGGCACACCTCTTTAGTAACGTCGGTCTCGTTCTCGCCGGACGGCACTCGCATTGTCACTGGTTCTTCGGATTACACTGTTCGGCTGTGGGATGCAAGGACGGGAGAGCCAGTTGGTGAGCCCTTGGGGGGGCACACCTCTTCAGTTTGGTCGGTCTCGTTCTCGCTGGACGGCACTCGCATCGTCACTGGTTCTTCAGATAACACTGTTCGGCTGTGGGATGCAGGGACGGGGGAGCCAGTCAGTGTGCCCTTGGGGCACACTGATTCAGTTTTTTTCGGTCTCGTTCTCGCCGGACGGCACTCGCATCGTCACTGGTTCGTACGATAACACTGTTCGGCTGTGGGATGCAGGGACGGGGGAGCCAGTCGGTGAGCCCTTGCGGGGGCACACTCGTTCAGTTTGGTCGGTCTCGTTCTCGCCGGACAGCACTCGCATTGTCACTGGTTCGGACGATAAGACTGTTCGGCTGTGGGATGCAGGGACGGGGGAGCCAGTCGGTGAGCCCTTGCGGGGGCACACTCGTTCAGTTTGGTCGGTCTCGTTCTCGCCGGATGGCACTCGCATCGTCACTGGTTCGCGCGATAGCACTGTTCGGCTGTGGGATGCAGGGACGGGGGAGCCAGTCGGTGAGCCCTTGCGGGGGCACACTCATCCAGTAAGGTCGGTCTCGTTCTCACCGGACGGCACTCGCATCGTCACTGGTTCTTCGGATGACACTGTTCGGCTGTGGGATGCAGGGACAGGGGAGCCAGTCGGTGAGCCCTTGCGGGGGCACACTCATTCAGTTTGGTCGGTCTCGTTCTCGCCGGACGGCACTCGCATCGTCACTGGTTCTTCGGATGAGACTGTTCGGCTGTGGGATGCAGGGACAGGGGAGCCAGTCGGTGAGCCCTTGCGGGGGCACACTCATTCAGTTTGGTCGGTCTCGTTCTCGCCGGACGGCACTCGCATCGTCACTGGTTCTTCGGATAACACTGTTCGGCTGTGGGATGCAGGGACAGGGGAGCCAGTCGGTGAGCCCTTGCGGGGGCACACTGGTTCGGTTTTGTCGGTCTCGTTCTCTCCGGATGGCACTCGCATCGTCACTGGTTCGGACGACAATACTGTCCGGCTATGGGATGCAGTGATAATGCAGCTGTCGCAACAGTGCGCCGTGTCAGATCCTTCTACATCCTCAAATGAACATCGCACGATTCAGACCACCACTACCATGACACCGAACACTTGGAACAATCACTTCATCCGCTTCTCGTCCATCTCTACCCATGCCCTCCACAACACCTCTGAGCTATCAGAGGGAGCATCCCATGACGACTGCAATTCGACCCCCTTTTTACTGAATGGTGACAGTGGATGGATGGTAGGACCCAAACGTCGCCTGTTATTCTGGGTACCACCGGCTTCTCGAAACCCATTCTATAACCCTGCAACTGCATTAGTGATACCCAGAGGATGTCCTGAGCTTGATTTGAGCCGCATGGCACATGGACAACACTGGCAAAAGTGCCGAGAGGAGTGAGTCTCTTCAAAGCCTTCTCGTTCCTCGCACTTACTAAAATCAACACTTGCAGACCTTAGTACCGACGATGCTCGCAGCAATGGATACATTGTGGAGATTTCGGATGCAATTTAGATGTGATCGAATGAACAGAAGATCATACTTTGTATTCTATTCTATGCCCAGCATCTAGTCCGAGTTTAGGGTTGTTCATGCGAACGACGTGAGCTGACTGTATTGCACTCATGCTGTTAGTCCTCGTTTGTGAGAGCACGTAACGACAGACAAGACATGCCGATTCCATCAGAGATGCGGTTGCGTGTGCGCTGTGAATTATGTTGAGGTGTATACACTAGTGCTTCCTCATAGCGGACTGAGAAGTTGCGCAGAAGGGCATCGTTATTGCGGTCATCTGTGGTCGTTCAAGTTCCCGTTGCACCGAGTACATTCAAAGTGGTCTCAGAATCTGAGAAAACAGAGTGGGGCGAAATATGTAGTTCATTGTGTTCACTGTAAAGTACAACATGTAATTGCGATATCTAAGACGAAGGCGATGAGAACAAGAGCACCATGAAAACGGTGCGTGCAAGGACGATGATGTGAGTTATGAGGAGCGAAAATACAGCTGGCGCGGCAGGACCGTGTCAAAGTAGCTACGCCCCCAGACGAGCCTAATTGACGCGGCATTGCCACAAATCCTATGAATTCAGAATTTTATGTGGTGATCTGACCTTTAGAGCGAGCCTCCTATGCACAAAAATAGCCTCCAGCACCAATAAGTTGGCTATGGGACGAGATCTACTTCAAACAAAAAACATGGTACTGTGTATTATGTTAGGGGGAGCCCAAATGCAACATACATAAGGATTCCGTGCAGAATTGTGTGTGCTAGAATTAATGCGCGAACTCTTGGGACACACGGACTCGTGGGACTATCTAGTATGCATTGCATCATCCCCTGATACGCGCGCCTGGAGTGGCCCCTGTAGTACTCCGACGATAGATCCTAGACTGTGTTATCATGATTGGTGCAAGTATGGCATGTGCGTAGTACTCGGTTCGCGACATGCACATCTGGGGAGAGCACAAACGACGTGTTCTTATACTCAATATGCCAGCCCTTCATTCATCTTTTCCTCACTCACTACTAACTAGTTACTCGGCGCCTTTGCTAGTCAATTATAACGAAGGACCACCTCAGGTGAGAAATGGCAACGGACTCGATCATGCGTGGAATCGCCGTGGATGCTAATATCTATTAATTATTATCTATGGTATATGTTACTAAAGAAACAGCAAGTTGACCTCCTTCGTTCTATGTCATAGCAATGACAGAGTCGCCAACCCTCCTCCTATATTCGCATCGTCCAACGCTTCATATATCTTCGCTTTGTCCTGCGCCCATGTCGGAGAGGCGATCCTGAATGCATCTCCAACACGCGCATATGAGATATCCCCCACACGTGCGACAGGCTTGAACTTTGTCAGGTCGATCACACCTCTCTGTGTGAGCATGTCTTTGCGCACGTGGATGTACTTGACGTGCGCGAGGATGAGCGTGCTGGTGTGCTCGCCTGTGACTGGGTGCGTGATATCTATGGATTTGTAGAGCTGTTGGGACGCGGCATGGTCAGCGAGCGAGTAGGGCTCGGCATGAAATGAAATTACCTCGCACTCCATGCTAAAAGCGCTTTCCTTGACGCGGGAAGCTTTTATATGCACCTGAACACTTTGTTGTCAGCGCATATATCGTATCACAAAGGTGCACACATACGCATTTTTCCTTTGTTAGACCGCTGAGACTCCATTCGTCGAAGCCGGGAGGAGAGTCTATGGCAGTTGCATTTGCACTCTCGATGAATGGCTCGCTGACGATGTTCACGCTAAACCCTTGGCTGTTCAGCACATTCACCGCTGTGTCTTTGAGGCCGCCCACGGCGTTGTTATTACATGCGAATGAGATGATAGGCGGGTAGGTCGTCACCTAGTATGGGAAGATGTTATCGAACCGATGAAGAGACATGTTTATTTATTTATTGCTCACTGTGTTAAACCAACTAGTAAATGCAAGCCAGGTAAGCGTGCAGATCGCGTTAGATAGCGGAAGTGTCTTACCTGTACGGTGCCAGGTTCTCTATGCCATCCTCGCTGATCGTAGACACGAATGCGATGGGGCGTGGTACGATCCCCGAATTCAAGAGCTTGGTGATATTGCTGTCGATCGCGGTCACAATTGCGGCTGAACAATAGGTCGAGGAGTACGTACACCTTGTCTAATTCTGCTGTGTTATAGATTTTCCACCCAGCAGATTCGCCTGCAACCCAGTCTTTTCCGGCAGGAGTGGTGTCGACTCTCTGACCGTACGTCCACGACGGATTGGGTGATTGGGTGTAAGTGGAATAGGTGGTGGAATCGAATGGAGGGATGAACATCATGATAGTGGACTAGCTTGATGGAAACAGCGAGACTGGCCCTGGATTTATAGCTACATGGTTGCAGGTAAAGGCTGGCTTTCACATATACGAGGCTGATAGTGGATCTACGAGGCTGACAGCGCTGATAACAAGGAATCCGTGATGGCGTCCGACAGTCCGACAGTCCGAGTAGATACTTGAAATTGCTTACTATAGCTTGGCGATTTGATGAGCACGTGCAGCTTCTAACTGCGCGATGATCGCTATGCTGTGCAGCGCTGACACACCTTCTTAACCGCCGGCTGGGTCAATTCTGTCCACCACCGCCAGCGATTCGAAATCACACGAAAAGAGCTTGCCTCTCCGCATCATCATCTTTGCAAGCATTCCGACTCTGATGTAACATGGTCAGACTGCCGCCCGCATAACCGTTACACCAAAAGGTGAAATACTGAAAGCTTAGCTTTCAGCATCAGCGACAGTATATGTACTGATTATGAGAACTCAGGTAAGCCGGCGTGCTTACATCTGAGTTAAAACCTCCCGGACCCTCTATGGAAGCTTCTGTCCCAGAGAGTCTGGAAATCTTGATAACTGGATGTGCGTCCGCATGACACGCAATTGGAGTCTGTCGGATAATACAACATTTAGACAGACAATTGAAGTGCTTTCAGTTATGCATCTTCACGGGAGCGGCCGCCCAGAAGGAAATCTTGGCCAGTAACTGCGACAGGATAACTTGTTTTACCTTCTGATTCAAAGGACACTGTACTGACATTTTCAAGTAAGAGAGCACTCCTGCTTCCAATTCAGGAGACGGAGTCCACGAGGGAAGAAAATCGACTAGCCACGACGAAGTAACAGCCCACTCCATCCGAATATCAAAATTGATGCTACAGGATGCCTCGTGACGCGTCAGTTATTATGCTATCACGGATATCGACTCAATTTGGCAATGTGGTATATCCTGGCATGAACCCTTCCAGAGTGTGAACTCCAGGTTTCTGCGACATGATGGTAGACGTTGGCGCCGCCTTGGTATCCCATTGGTAAAACTCCAATGAAACTAACAACAATGACATGTGTTCCTATAAGGTGAGTTTACCCCATGACCAACACCATCTGATTGGGCGCTCAACGTTAACCCTTCCTGACATTGGAATTTGTAGTCGCAGTCATGGGCAAAAATCATGCTTAGCGTGAGACAGCGATGACCTTGTTTACCATGGTCCGTGGTACTCATAGGGACTTCGTATAACTACGATTTATGTATTGTGCACGTGCCAACTCTCATACTCAGGCTTTCAACTGGCACTGACAAGCTCCTGTTTTTTATATCAATGTTTGGAGTGGTATATTTATGATTCCTCGAATCACCAGAGAGTCGTGGTATGCACTAACGGCCACCTGGACTCGGAGGTGCTATCTGATCCATACCCTTCCTGTCCCACCCTTGATCGCTTCCCTGTCCTGCGCAGAAGATCAGGAAGGTGCCAAGGTTTGGCTTCGCGTATTCGAAGACGGCAAAACCGTCCCGAAAAATTTAGTCGAACTTACTTTCTCTCGCAGTTCTGGTCACGGAGGGCAGGTGCATTCATGTTGCCTGTTTTCCGTGCGAGGCCCACTGTGGTGTGGTTAAAATGTCAATAAGGTGGAGACCAAGAACGGTTTCTGTGCGCGGCTGTCGTGTAGACGCACCTCGGATAACGATATGGGCGCACGAGAGTCTCGTGAGGACTGTGATTTGTGGAGCTTGTCATGCGATTGTCAGACTAAAACTAGTATTTCATTCAAGCTGTACTATGTCAGAACATCGCATTCTTTACTGGTTTCATCTAGCGCGTCTCGTTCGCAAGCACGAAACATTGGTGATTCCTTTGGAAAAGTCTGTTCAACTTGTCGACTCTGTATCTCAAACTGAACATAATTTCTTTCCTCAAGATGCATGCCATCGTGATGGATGCTGCCAAGAACTTCATTACTAGCAAGTGTGGACACATTGACACCGAGCCGGCGGTTAAGAGGTGTGTCAGCGCTGCACAGCATAACGGGGCGATCATCGCGCAGTTAGAAGCTGCACGTGCTCATCAAATTGCCAAGCTATAGTAAGCAATTCAAACCAAGTATCTACTCGGAGTCTCGGACTGTCGGACGCCATCACGGATCCCTTGTTATCAGCGCTGTCAGCTTCGTAGATCCACTATCGGCCTCGTATATGTGAAAACCAGCCTTTACCTGCAGCCATGTAACTATAAATCCAGGACCAGTGAGCCTCGCTCTTTCCATCCAACTAGTCCACCATCATGATGTTCATCCCTCCATTCGATTCCACCACCTATTCCACCTACACCCAATCACCCAATCCGTCATGGACGTACGGTCAGAGAGTCGACACCACTCCTGCCGGAAAAGACTGGGTTGCAGGCGAATCTGCTGGGTGGAAAATCTATAACACAGCAGAATTAGACAAGGTGTACGTACTCCTCGACCTATTGTTCAGCCGCAATTGTGACCGCGATCGATAGCGATATCACCAAGCTCTTGAATTCGGGAATCGTACCGCGCCCCATCGCATTCGTATCAACGATCAGCGAGGAGGGCATAGAGAACCTGGCACCATACAGGTAAGACACGCTTCCATTATGTACTGCGCTCTGCACGCTTACCTGGCTTGCATCCACCAGTTGGTTTAACACAGTGAGCAATAAACAAAAAACATGTCTCTTCATCGGTTTGATAACTTGTTCCCATGTTAGGTCACGACCTACCCGCCTATCATCTCATTCGCATGTAATAACAACGCCGTGGGCGGCCTCAAAGACACAGCGGTGAATGTGATGAACAGCCAAGGGTTTAGCGTGAACATCGTCAGCGAGCCATTCATCGAGAGTGCAAATGCAACTGCCATAGACTCTCCTCCCGGCTTCGACGAATGGAGTCTCAGCGGTCTAACAAAGGAAAAATGCGTATGTGTGCACCTTTGTGATACGATATATGCGCTGACAACAAAGTGTTCAGGTGCATATAAAAGCCTCGCGCGTCAAGGAAAGCGCTTTTAGCATGGAGTGCGAGGTAATTTCATTTCATTTCATGCCGAGCCCGTTCGCTCGCTGACCACGCCGCCGTCGCAACAGCTCTACAAATCCATAGATATCGCGCACCCAGTCACAGGCGAGCACACCAGCACGCTCATCCTCGCGCACGTCAAGTACATCCACGTGCGCAAGGACATGCTCACGCAAAGAGGTGTGATCGACCTGACAAAGTTCAAGCCTGTCGCGCGTGTGGGCGACATCTCATATGCGCGCGTTGGAGATGCATTCAGGATCGCCTCTCCAACATGGGCGCAGGACAAGGCGAAGATACGTGATGCGTTGGACGAGGCGAAGATAGAAGGAGCGTTGGCGACTCTGTCATTGCTATGACATAGAACGAAGGAAGCCAGCTTGTTGTTTCATTAATAACATATACCATAGATAATAGTTAATAGATATTAGCATCCACGCGTGATCGTGTCCGTTTCCATTACCCATCCGTGAGGTAGTCCTTCCTTATAATTGACTAGCAAAGGCGCCGAATAACTAAGTATTGATTGACATCTTTCGAAGACGCGCTTAGAGAGCTCAAAACTAGCGATGCTGTGGTTACCTTCATTTATCGTGGGCTATACTTGGGTGTGTGAAATGCATGTCCGTGTCGCCGTTAATAGTTATCCACATCGTGCTCCTACTTATCTCCTCCATGTCGGTAGACCGTAGTTGCGGTGACATATCCTTCTAGATGGATGTATACTAGTACCTCAATCTTGGTCGGGCTATTGAACTTGGTGATGTGATTGATATTGATGAGCTGGCTAGTAATATATGTTCAGTCACTGTGAGGTGATGAAGCTAGAACTCGGCCCAAGTCTATCGCGGTATCTGGTATCTACGCCGTGCACGTGGGCGCAGTCTTATTATAGTTACTCGGTACTATTAAATGACGTCACACGATATGTTTGTGTGTCCTTGTTGAATTTACAAGGTAGCACTATTTCCACACGTTCGACAGCCTGTGACCGTCTCTAATTCCTACAGTACATCTGAGCTGAAACAATGGCTCGGCCTTATTCTCTCAGTCGGCGCGAGATTACACTCGTTTTGTTCTCCGTCCTGATTTTTTTGGTCTTCTACAACTTCGATGCGACTTCCAACTTCTTTGCCAATCCTAACCTCCCTGGCATATACTCAAATCCCTCCGCTGATGGTGGTCTCGACATGGACATATATGGGGACTGGGTGTCCGACGAGAAACACATATCTAGCGTTCATAAGCAGCAAGAGGAAGAAGATGCCTCGGAAGGAGATATATGGCTAAAGACCGATCGTATACCTGAGGCGCAGAAACAAGTCATCTTCGGGGATATCGGTGTCAACGATGGCTTCATGCAATGGGGAATGGACATTCCTGAAACTCGAATAGTGAAACATGTCGCTGGTAGGTGTGCTGCAATTGCTTATGGACATATTACTGATAATGTTGTCTATCAGGATTCTCGATCATGGACAATGTAATAATGTGCAATGGCACAATTTTCATTGTGACGGATTCTCCTTCAAGCTTCCCTTCCTTGGGTTCCATTGCATCGTCTGCTGACAACTCGCACGAAGATCCACTTCCAGGAGAATGGAACATGTTGTCGATCGAGCAAGCCAGAGACATACTTGGTGCATATGGTGGATTGTGAGTATCGCACGTGTACTATTCCAAACGCTCTTAACATCGTCCAGGATTCAAGGCACGAGTTGGCTATCGTATGACGCAATTCCAAGTTTGTCGACACCTGCATCTTCAAGTTCATGAGTCTCGTCCTTACATAACATATCCAGGCAACTACACACTTTTCTCGCTCTGGAGGACCCACAGCTCCCTGAACACGTCGACGTCTTCAGACCCTTTCCATCCGCCACGACGACTGTTCTTCCCGAACATTCCTCCTTACAAAGGAATACCACCCCCAACCAGAACACCTATCATTAGACGTCAACGTTCGGACAGTGGTTTTCATCCATATCTTCCAAAGGCCGCTTTTCCATCGCTCGGCTTGATGTACAAAGAAGATTGGGAAGATTATGCCCTCATGGAAGTCCCTTTCGTTTTCGAGAGGCTCGTCGTCGCCGATTTTCGTGCAGCCGCACGTTCGGCAATCGATGTGCCTCCCTTCGCTCTCCCGCTTGTTGGCTTGAATGCGTCAAAGGAATGGTGGGAGCCGATTAGGCAGAATCTTGCAAAATTCTTGCATGTAGACCACCGCCCACAAAATCTTCACAGTGGACAAGAAAAAACAGTCGTCACTTACATATCTCGACAAGATGCCACAACCGGTTCAAGGCTGAGGAGAGCCGACCACGATGCGTTGGTCAACGCTCTCGAAACGTTGCATGAGAGCAACGACTTCGAGGTCAAGATAGTCTCTTCCGAGGGTCCTTGGGTAGAAAGGTTGTCAGCTGTCGCCCAGTCCAATGTAAGCCTGCATCACTCGTAAAGGTACCGCGCTACGACTCACATGCATGAAGGTCGTTCTGGGTGTTTACGGAGATAGCCTCGCTGACAGCATCTTTATGAGGCCATCAGAACATTCAGCTCTGATGGAATTTTTTCCCTCTGACGTCTTTACTCGCGACGCAGAAACGGCGGTTTGTTCCTTAGGCATTCGCTACATCGCCTGGTGGAATGATCGGTACGCTCTGTCTTTGTATTTTCTTGTCCGAAGCCTCATTTTATCCATTTATAGGCGGTTCGAAACCGACAGTCTTCCATCTATTACTCCAGGTATTGACTCTGCTCAAGAAGTTCAGATCGATCCTGCTTCAGTCGTGCATGCCATCCTGGAGGTGGTCACTCGCACATAGATATTGTCGGCAAAAAGGTTCGCCTAGACAATCGCTCTTCACTTGCTCAAGAGGACAGGTGGAGCTAAACCCCTTTCACGACAACCCGCCAGCCATCTATATTTGCACCGTAACTTATTTAGTCCTGAGGAACGCAAAGTAGTAGGACTCTTCTTGGACACCTTGATCAGTACATCGTGTATTGAGGACATGTGATACGTGTACTAGCTTGTATTTTGGGATGACCGAGTCTGGAGGACAATGGGCGTGGAGTGATTCGTGCTGCATCGACCAGAACAACAATGAGAATCAGTCAGTTCCATGTTCATCTTGTATCACTACTCAGCGCTAGCATGACTCGGAATTCATAGTTACCGTGAAAGAGAATGAAGAAGCGATCGAACAAGATGACGCGGATCCTCAAAGAATATATTCAGTACAAACCAGCACAGTACATCGTAATACATAGATAAAAACAACTTCGAACTTTGGGAGTTATTGGACCATGACAGCTTTAATGATCTACAAGACTTGGACTTCAGGGGGACGACCCAGACAACTGCCAGCGGTCTCAAAGACGTCCCAGCGCTTCCATAACCTTAGGCTAGAATGATTTTAGAAAGAGTCGAAACTCAATACTGTGCTCAAGACATACCTTCGGGGTTTTCAAGAATTGCGTATTTAACAGAGGGAGTAAGTAGAACACTCGAAAACAGGACCAACACTAGATAATTACCTTTATCGTCATCATCCACAACGTCTATGCATCTCTCGTTAGACAGGACACGAAAATACAGAGGAATCGAAACGTACAGCGAAACAGCATCCAGCTGCGCTTCTCGATATCTATGTCGTCGATATTCTTGTGAGATAGGTGCAGATACTACAGACGAGTTGAGACATACTCTGCTCGCCCTCACTCTTTTTGACGGCTACGTTGTCGTAAGACATGTGAAAACAATGTCGGTGCTACAAGAGAAATACCTTGGAAGTGCTCTGACGCAGCGGGTGCTGCTGCCGTCGTCTGCAGGAGAGCGATGGAGATGAGAACAAATGACAAAAATCCTTTCATGATTGCTAGATGTCACGGTGAAGTGATTGTTGGAGTTTCACTGGGGTGCTGGGTGCACTTCGATTCGAGGAATGCTGCTTTTACATTGTTGCAAGCTCGACTATCAGACTCACCGACTCGGGCCTTTCCGTTTCGTGCATTATTTCGATTTGCATAGGCAATAGCATTTTTCCATTTGTCTGCCTTAAGCTTCAAGTTTGCACTGTAATGAAGTGAGCAACTCCGAGGACATACCGTGACTTGCGTGCATCCTGAACGTTCGAACAGCGACGTGTCTGCGTCAATTCCTGTTTTACATCAGCACCGTTGTATCATGATATCTGGTCAATGGCTTTTTACCTGACTGTCTAGTCTTGTGAACCAGCCGCCTTGTCTGAGAAGGGAATTCTCAGACAAGGCGGCTGACTACTGACTGTCTGGCGAGTCCGCATATGATCTCGTCACAAACATATTTAATCGTTCGCATAGGGAATATAATTTTACTGTCAGCAACTGCCAGACTACTTAGCACTCCAAGTGAAGGGAGGAACTCCCACATACCGTGAGTTGCGTGCATCCTGAACCGCCATACACGTCACGGTAGCGTCATGCATTTGTATAAGCTTAAAGTTTGAACGATACTCAGTGCAGACTCGGAAGTGCGGAGAATTCCGTGATAGTGATCCGAACGATTATCATGGCTACAATATCATTATGTCGGACTCATGATTTCACTGGATCAACAGGTCTGAAAGCTTCTGAAAGCCACGGCTGAAGGGCCCGGCCCGGGCTTGTGCAGATCATCAATGAGCCCGGCCCGGCTCGGCCTAGGGCTTCACGCCGGGCTTTGCACAACACTACATGGTGTGAGTGTCTCTGCACCATTGTCTCATCCGGTTGATGGTTTTTTACCCGACCATCTGGGGACTCCGCATATGATCTCAACTTCATCGTTCATGCAGGGAATATGATTTTGCTATCAGGAATCGCCAGACTACATCCAGGTAAGTACTTTTTTCTACTGTTGCTAGCTCGTCAGCAATCACCAGACGGTGACCGTTAGTACTCCAAATCCAGGCGAACGAAGCGAGGAACTCCGACATACTGTAAGTTTTATGCATGCTGAACAGCGACGTTTCTGCTTCAATTCCTGTTTTACATGTGAGTTTTTCAGGCCACAAAAAACTGTGCTAAGGGTACATTGATCTGCAGAGCAAGCGCAGGTAACAGCGCTATGAGTCAAAGCCTACTTTTATCAAGCACTGATACACTACCCTATTTCCACCAAGTCGAAAGCTGCATATTGCATCAATCTGACACCTCAAATCTGTGACACGACTGCTTGCACTCACCCAACGGAGGAGTTGACAACACTTGCTCATTCAAGTCTATACAACCTTCTCAGGCCACCTCGATGCTAACAGTCATTTTCTCACCACAGGAGAACCGTGTTGGCATCAGTATTGCCATCCATCTTGTAATTGCAGCCGCTCTATCTTCTCTTTCTCAGGAAGAAATGAGACAGTGCCCATTAGTGCAATTCGTTGGTGTCGCGAGTTCCAGCTGAGGCTCTTCATGGATTTTGTAGGAGTGATGACATTCCAAATTTGAATCTGGGTGAGGGAGCCAGATGAAGTGTAGGTCTTTTTGGCCGCAAGATCATCTTCGGGAGTGGCAACAACACTGTCGATATAGCAAGATGTGAATTTCGACTTGCGTAGGTGCCATTGGAAGAACATTGAATCCTGGAGAAGACAAATGACCAGGTGACTTCGGGTGGAGATCCACTTACGTCGTCTCTCAATATGACATGTGAGCCCGAAGTATGCACTTGGTCAGGTAAGGCTTTGTTCACCCGTACGATTTTGCTTGGAAAGTACGTCATAGGTCCTGCTTTCCATTCTGAAAAAGTGCCCATGATGACTGAACATGCGTACCTTTGTGTGCGAGCTCTTCAGTGAATTCCAAACCAGGATACTGGTTCGGCTGCCGCAAACCATAGGTATTATGTTGCCCAGAAATGCTGGCGGAGGTGACATACAACGCGCATGCACAAGCTACTGTTAGGACAGAGTGTCCGAGTTTGGTCCAAGTGGACCGTTTGGAAGCAGGATCTGCCTTGCGGGGCTCAGAAATGAAGCCTTCGCTGGGGAGGAGAATTACGTCTTCTCCATAGTCTTCAAGTTGATATTCCAGATCGTGCATGTGGAGAGGTGAATGTGATACTACGAAGGTCTGTCGTATATCTAAGAACGGCTTATTGAATATATTGCTTGTCGGTGGCAACGTGCCCATTTACCTGTTTCACTGGAATGTTTGGTAGGGCGCACCGAAGCCCACGCAAGCGAAATTCCAGTTTGGATGGTATCCAGACTTCATACGTCAGAACTTTGTTTTTGTCCAACCATGACTCGTTTGAAACACAAGACGAGCACGAGTACCACACACGAATGAAATTACAAATCCAGCACGATATTTCAGAGGATGAGGCGTACGAAGACAGGAAATTATTCCAGCGAGTCACATAACGACCGCGAGGGACATTGCTACAAAGGACGATAAGCTATTAGCAACAATACAAAACAATACTCACCTGGATGAAGTACTGCTAGGTAGTCCAGTGATTGCTGACAGTAAAATCATATTCCCTGTGCGAATGATGTCAGTGACGAGATAGCTGATAAGTATTGCCAGTCGGAAGCGTACCATAATAGAAAATATGCGCTTAGGTTTTTATCAACGCTGCGCGTCCAGTTCCCCTGCAGATCCTTGACTGCAGTGCTTGTCTGAACGCCTGATCCTACCCCGTAAAATATCAGTACATGCACCACCTGTCCGCAATACACGATGGACTGATCGAGGTGATTGCAATCGAAGGATTCAAGAGGAGTCACACTACTTTGCGTTCCTCGGAAGTAAATCAATTATGGTGCAAATATGTATGCTTGGTAAATTGATAAAGGCACCAGAGACATGTCAAGCTAGTCTAGAAGTCCAGGAGTCGCAGTGATGCACTCGACAATGATGATGATAATAAAGTTCGACCGTGGCTGCTGGTAGTCCAGCTGGAGAATTCTAAATGCTTCTATGGACATAATGTCCATGTGGCCGTGCAATTAAATGGGGGCTATCGCCGACAATATCTACGTGCGAGTGACCACTTCCAGGATGGCATGCACGACTGAAGCAGGGTCGATTTGAACTTCTTGAGCAAGGTCACTCCCCGGAGCAACAGGTGGAGGACTGTCGGTTTCGAATCGCCTATAAATAGACAAAATGAGGCATTGGAGAAGAAAAATACAAAGACAGAGCGCACCGATCATTCCACCAGGCGATGTAGCGAATGCCTAAGGAACGAACCGCCGTCTCTGTGTCGCGAGTAAAGACGTCAGGGGGAAAAAACTCTATGAGAGCTGAGTGTTGTGATGGCCTCATAAAGACGCTGTCAGCGAGGCTATCTCCGCAGACACCCAGAATGACCTTCATGCATGTGAATCGTAGCGCGATACCTTTACAAGTGATGTACACTTACATTAGACTGGGCGACGGCTGACAACCTTTCCGCCCAGGGTCCCTCTGAAGAGACTATTTTAACCTCGAAGTCGTTGCTCTCATGCAACGTTTTAAGAGCGTTGACCAACGCATCGTGGTCGGCTCTCCTCAGCCTTGAACCGGTTGTGGCATCTTGTCGAGATATGTAAGTGACTACTGTTTTTTCTTGTCCACTGTTAAGATTTTGTGGGCGGTGGTCTACATGCAAGAATTTAGCAAGATTCTGCCTAATCGGCTCCCACCATTCCTTTGACGCATTCAGGCCAACAAGTGGGAGAGCGAAGGGAGGCACATCGATTGCCGGACGTGCGGCTGCACGAAAATCGGCGACGACGAGCCTCTCGAAAACGAAAGGGACTTCCATGAGGGCATAATCTTCCCAATCTTCTTTGTACATCAAGCCGAGCGATGGAAAAGCGGCCTTTGGAAGATATGGATGAAAACCACTGTCCGAACGTTGACGTCTAATGATGGGTCCATTGAGGTCGGGTTGTACTCCTTTGTGGGTAGGAATGTTCGGGAAGAACAATCGTCGTGGCGGACGGAAAGGGTCTGGAGACGTCGACGTGTTCAGGGAGCTGTGGGTCTTCCAGAGCGAGAAAAGCGTGTAGTTGCCTAGATATGTTATGTAAAGACGCGACTCATGAAGATGCAAGTGTCGACAAACTTGGAATTGCGTCATACGATAGCCAACTCGTGCCTTGAATCCTGGACGATGTTAAGAGCAGTTGGAATAGTACACGTGCGATACTCACAATCCACCATATGCACCAAGTATGTCTCTGGCTTGCTCGATCGACAACATGTTCCATTCTCCTGGAAGTGGATCTTCGTGCGAGTTGTCAGCAGACGATGCAATGGAACCCAAGGAAGGGAAGCTTGAAGGAGAATCCGTCACAATGAAAATTGTGCCATTGCACATTATTACATTGTCCATGATCGAGAATCCTGATAGACAATATTATCAGAAATACGTACATAAGCAATTGCAGCGCACCTACCAGCAACGTGTTTCACTATTCGAGTTTCAGGCATGTCTGTTCCCCAGTGCATGAAGCCATCGTTGACACCAATGTTTCCGAAGATGACTTGTTTCTGCGCCTCGGGTATACGATCGGTCTTTAGCCATATATCTCCTTCCGAGGTATCTCCCTTCTCTTGCTGCTTATGAACGCTGGATATGCGTCTCTCGTCAGACACCCAGTCCCCATATATGTCCATGTCGAGACCACCATCAGCGGTGGGATTTGAGAATATGCCAGGCAGGTTAGGATTGGCAAAGAAGTCAGAAGTCGCGTCGAAATTGTAGAAGACCAAAAAAATCATGACGGAGAACAAAACGAGTGTAATCTCCCGCCGACTGAGAGAGTAAAATCGAGTCATTGTTTCAGGTCAGACCTGTGTAGAAATTAGAGACGTCCTGCAGCTGTCGAACGAGTGGAAATAGTGCCCGCAACATGTACTACCTTGTAAATTCAACAAGTACAAACAATCATATGCATATCGTCTGACGTCAATATCAATGTCATGATCGTACTCGGTACCAGAGATTACATCTGAAACACGACCGGATATATATGATACTACATGAAGCTCGAATCCAATAAAAAAGTTTGTAAAAGGTGAATAAAGGTGATACACAGAAATTTACGCCTCCTGGCTTGCACCCTCCTTCTTGCCTTTGCTGTAAAGGATGTCAGGTCTGAATGGGCAGACATATAACACACAGCATACCTTGATTTACTAGGCAGTAATTCAGGGTTGATGAAGGGGACCACTCCTCCTTGTGAGATAACTACGTCACCCAGGAGCTTGTTCAATCTAAACGATATCAGAGTCACCGAACCTTTAAGATGGGAAAACAACTCACTCTTCATCGTTTCGGATGGCCAACTGAAGATGACGGGGCACAATACGTTGTTTCTGTGGCAATGATCAGCCCGTGGCCTTCAAGAGACAGAAGGATCACCAACCTTGTTATCACGGGCGGCATTGCCTGCAAGCTCAAGAATCTCAGCGGCAAGGTACTCAAGAACCGCGGCAAGGTAGACTGTAAATATTGGGTGTTGGAACAGGTAAGCTTATTTGAGAGGTACTCGACTTACCTGGAGCGCCTGCGCCAACACGTTGGGCATAGTTGCCTTTCTTCAAAAGACGATGGACACGGCCAACAGGGAACTGAAGGCCAGCTTTTGCAGAACGCGACTGTGACTTGCCTTCGCCGCCAGCCTTTCCGCCAGAAGATTTGCCAGCTTTTCCTGTACCGTATACCGCCGTGTTAGACTTGAGTCAACCAGAACTTCCCAAATCCACTGACCCTTGCCAGACTGGAGGGTGACGCGGATCAAATTGCGCTCCGATCCATACAGAAGAAGGACATACCATTGATAGCGCTAGTTGAGTTGAGCGACTATTAGATTGGTGGTGGTTTGTGATAAAGGGATGATGATCAACAAACGGACACGGAGCGTGACTTGCCGTTTATATACCTTCACGTGATATGGGACCTTCATATTCCCGATTAGGAATCTTTACTTTTGACCAAATGCTTGTCCGTCCACTCGTCCATGCACAGTGGCAAGAAACAGCTACCCTGCGCAGATTTATTCAGCTTCCAAGATGTACAAGGAATTTGACTTCTGGAGCTAATGGATCTGCGGAAAAGAGACCGTCAGCGAAGGCAACTTCCGATGAGTTGACAACGACGTTACCGTTTCTGCAGCGCCCGCTCGGTGTGAAGGAGAGACCTTCGCCTGTCCTGAAAACATGGGCGGACACCAGGGAGGAGCTGATGAATCAGGAGACGCGCTTGGCACAAAGAGAGCACCTGTAAGTTAGCTACAATAGATTGGTTTTGAAGTTGTTTTGACTGCTTGCAAGGGTGAAAGAAGCCACGAAGGGCTATTTTACTGACCTCAATGCAACAAGGAGGCACGGTGGCAAAACGTGGATAGCACCTAATGTGATGATCCGTGAGGACGTATGTCCCATAATTCTTCATGATGGCAAGGAGACTGACGATGTGCCAGAAAGCACTTTATTTCCCAAACATCGTCGGGTCAAGCCTGGATACGAAATCTAAGAAACATACCACCAGCATGTGTGAAGGTCGTATCTCCGTTATATCTATGTTGTCCACAAGGATGTCAGAAGTACGTTCATGTCTCCTTAATATTTTCTTCGGTGCTGAGCATACTCAGATACACGTGAATGGCTTCACGATACCAACAAATGAAAGGTATCTCTCGAACTCGCTGTACCAATATGTGCAGATAAACTTGCAAGAAAACCTTCTGAAGTCCTTTCTCGTATCGCTATTTCTATCATCAATAGCCAAGTCGGTCCCCCCAGAGCTACACTCGACATACTTAGTATCCAGTCAGAACATGGAGTTCGTGCGCGAGCACCTTGGTATGGTGAACAAACACGTCGGGTACGTCTACCTTGTGGATGACAACCTCAAGGTTAGGTGGGCTGGCTGTGCAGATGCCAAGGTAGAGGAAACAAATGCACTTGAGCAATGTACGGGAGTACTGTTAAGCAGGCTAGACAAAAAAAGATCTGCCAAAGCTTCACGATAGTTCCACGATAGTACTACCCAAGCAAATCGTGTCAAGTACCTATTCGTTATTTAAATTAGTAATAGTAACAGCATGGCAGACTTTCTACAAGCTAGAAAGTTGTTTGTCCGTGTTGGCTACGTGTCGTGTTGTAACAAATTCCTTTCCAACACTGCCAGTGTGACCTACAATTATCAAGTCGACCAAATTTAACGTCCATGGCTTCTCCTTCTCAGCAGCTTCCTCCTGGTTGGACAGCGGAATGGTAACAGACTCATCAGCTCTGATTTTCTTTTATTGACGAGAAACTTGCAGGGATCCTGCTAGTCAGAGATATCTTTTCATCCGTGCGTGACCTGCATGACCATTGGCGTTCACCAATATCTTTCCTTGCAGAAGCATCGACTGGACGCAGCCAATGGGAAATACCGACACCCGCACCAGTTCAACTGATGGACCCCGCACCGTCGGTGTCACCTCCCCCATACGCGACTCATGGTAAGCGTCGTCAATACGCAGCCGGGCAGACGCAAGTATACTACGGCGCGGGTGATACCCTTGGAGACCAGTATGGCGCACATGTACCACAGCAACAGCAACCTGCAGCCACTGCTCAGCTCTTCACTCCAGGACTTGCAGCAGAGGGGGGTTTCGCAGGTCAGCAGCAAGTCCCGCAGGCATCATACTACGCACCCCAACAGGAGCCCCAGTACATCAATGCTCCTGGGTTTGGTCAGGAACCAACGTATCACCCACCTAATGCGCCAATCCACCATCTCACAGACCAGTTCGGGCAGATGGGGATGGGGCAGAAGCCGCTACATCTCACGACTACCAATCTACTTACGTCGCCGCCAGACCCTCGTGAGCTGGTTCGCCCTCCTCCAGAGATTAGGTTGCCTGCGAACGCTTGCATCACGACATCGCCGTACGCGAATGCGGATCCATCATACCAGCGATGCACCATCAATGCAATTCCGACCACATCTTCGATGCTGAACAAGTCCAAGATTCCGCTGGGTCTGGTGATCACTCCATACCGAACGCTGAAGGAGGGCGAGCCGCCAGTTCCCGTTGTGACCGACACGGTGATTGCGCGATGCAGACGGTGCAGGACATATATAAATCCTTATGTTCAATTTATCGACAACGGCAATCGGTTAGTTTGATATGCATTGAAGACTTATTTGGTATGCTGACCTATTAACGATCATAGTTGGCGGTGTTGTATGTGCAGCATGTCGAACGAGGTTCCTCAGCTCTTTGACTGGGACCAGATACGGAATCAGCCTGGAGACCGATGGGCTAGAGACGAACTGAACCACTCTGTCGTCGAGTTTGTTGCGCCCACAGAGTACATGGTCCGCCCACCACAGCCGGCTGTGTATGTGATTCTTATCGACGTGAGCCATACCGCCGTGCAGTCGGGTAAGTCATCACGGTCGATGAGGTACCAGCTTCGTGATATCTTCCTATAGGTATGGTAGCGACGGCAACACGTACTATCCTTGAGAATCTTGATCGCATACCCAACGAGGACGAGCGTACCAAAGTCGCCATTATCGCCTACGACATTTCTCTTTATTTCTTCTCTATGCCTGTTAGTACTTTCTGATCTTCTGAGGTCTCGTGCTAATGGGTTGTTATTCTAGCCTGGGACGACGGAATCGACGATGCTAGTTGTTTCGGACGTTGATGATGTTTTTTTGCCGAAACCTACTGACCTCCTCATAAACTTGACGGAAGCGCGTCAGTCACTGGAGTCGCTCCTCGGCAGGATCAATGACATGTTTCAGGATAATCACACTGTTGGAAGTGCTATGGGCCCCGCATTGCAGGCTGGTTTTAAGCTCATGGTTAGTTGCTGAATGGAAAGGTATCGCAGTTTTTTGAATTGTTTCTAGGCTCCTATTGGTGGCAAGATCATGGTTCTCTCGTCCTCTTTGCCAAATGTTGGCGCTGGTTCCCTCAAAAACCGTGAAGATCTCAAAATTTTGGGCACGTCCAAAGTAAACCCTCTGCTCATGTTGCCAATTACATCATAGCTGATAAAATCACTCCCAGGAATCAGGCCTGTTGCAAGCTGCTTCACCCTTCTACAAGACATTCGCCATCGAGTGCTCGCGTGCACAGGTGTCGGTGGACATGTTCCTATTCAGCGCTGCATACCAGGACGTTGCCAGTCTCGGTTCGTGGCCTCCTATTATTCTCCTCACTCCAAATCCACCTGATGCATTTCAATAGCTTGCCTCCCACACTATACTTCTGGTCAAACATATTTCTACCCTGCATTCAATGCTGCTCGGTCCGAGGATGCCATTAAATTCGCGCACGAGTTTGGCGAGGTTCTCGCGATGCCCATTATGTTAGAAGCTGTTATGCGCGTCCGTGCTTCGAAAGGTAAGGAACCCTTTTACGTCGCCGTTATCAATGCTCATGAATGCAATCAAGGTTTGCGCATGGCATCGTTCCACGGAAACTTCTTCGTCCGCTCCACTGACCTCTTGGCCATGCCCGCCGTGCCCACCGATCAGTCTTACGCCATTGAGATCCAGATTGAGGACACACTTACGCAACCATTTGTAGTTATGCAAACTGCAGTTTTACACACAACTTGTCATGGGGAAGCGGCGTATTCGTGTTATTACACTTGCGTTGCCCACAACCAGCAGCCTTACGGAGGTTTTCGCGTCTGCTGACCAAGTGGCGATCGCGACCCTGCTAGCGAACAAAGCCGTAGAGCGCTCGCTTACCCACAAGCTGGAGGATGCTCGTGATGCGGTGCATCAGCGGCTGGTGGAGATCTTGTCCAGTTACAAGAGCAGTATGACATCCGCAGGTGCAGGTGCGAATGCGCAACTAGCGATCTCGGAGAACCTGAGAATGCTGCCTGTGTTGGTTCTCGGGCTGCTGAAAAATGTGAGTTGGTCACATTGTTTGGTCACAGGTGACCTGACTTGCTCTGCTACGTAGGTCGGTATTCGTCAAAGCGCGCAAATTCCTCCCGACCTCAGGGCCTATGCTCAGGCTCTGCTGACCACCCTACCCTCTCAAACTCTCATCCCGTACATTCATCCCACGTTCTTTTCGCTGCACAACATGCAACCCGAAGTAGGTTGAGTTTGGATATTGGAATTCAATATTTTACTAACACTGTTATCAGGCTGGAACGGTGGGTGAGCAAGGTGTAATTTTGCCGACCCCCTTGCCCCTCACTTCGGAACGGCTGGAGAGACATGGTTTGTACTTGATTGAGGATGGTCAGACAATATTCTTGTGGATAGGCCGTGATGCTGTGCCACAACTCGTAATGGACGTCTTCAACCTTCCGAATTACGAAGTGCTACGTGGCGGGAAGGTGGGCATCATATTGTTTTATGAGTTCCTTTCTCCATGTTGCTGATAAACCCCGTACGATCAGACGACACTTCCTGTTCTTGACAATGACTTCTCACGGCGGGTCAACGCTATCGTTCAGAAAACCCGCGAGATGCGCAGAGGCGTTTACTATCCCCATCTCTACGTTGTCAAAGAGGATGGCGAGCCCCCTTTGCGGCTCTGGGCCCTCAGCTGCCTCATTCAAGATCGTGCCGATGTTTTACCGAGCTATCAACAGTTCATAGGACAACTCAAGGACAAGGTTAACGGGGCCAATAATTACTAAGCCTGCATCTTCTGCGTGGTCTGAGATATTACGCGCTTTCTCCTACTTTACTATATGGCGTTGTAGAAATGACATGTGCGGACTGAGATAAATATGTTTTTGCTTCCCTTTTATAGGCATCACGTAAAAGTTAAACGTCAAGCTTGATTCTTCTCAAGATCTGCGCTGTGAAGCTTGACCGATGGGCACAGTACGCCTCTGATCTAGAATGGATCAAACTCAACTCCCAGTTACCGTTGTGAGTAGAAATGGTGTGTTCCTTGCACTATTCCACGTAGACCAGCTGAACGATTCGCATTGCAGAAGCCCACTGTGTCACGGTCACCTCTGGGTTCACATTTCTAGTTTTCTGGCCCGTGTCTTGAACGGTTAACAGGCCAAAACCGTCAAGTTCACGTCAATTATGGAGCCACATCAGTGATGTGATCGGATTTGGACTTCGGATGCGAGCACGGATGCATGCCGAAATTACATGCTTGTTATTTTTGAGTATGTAAAGGGGCGGACCATTTGTCCGATACTCCAACTGACTTTGTCTCATAAGAAGTTGGCGTATATATGGGTGTACGAACTGTGAGTCTATTCATTCCCTCTCACTTTCTCTTCGCGAAATGTCTCTTTCGCCAGCCACAACTGACCCCGTTTTTACCCCAGACAAGGCGTATCTCGCCCCTGAGGCCGCATCGACATGTCGAAGCGTCCGCCTAGGCCGCCCTGCAAGCTTGATCTTACGGAGGGCTTTGTAGATGCGGTTGAGCTTTCGCCCGTAACTCCAGTAGACAAGCAGAACGATGGCTTTGAAAGTCCATCAGTACTCTCAGCCATACGCAGAACACAAAAAACGCGGGAGAAAATTCAGTTTGTGACACTGTGTTGGTTCGTCTATCTGGAGGGTTGGAATGATGGATCGAATGGCCCTCTGTTGCCAAGAATTCAAGAAGTTTATGGGGTGCGTTTTTTGTATTTTGTACCGCGGCTGCTTGTTGACGTGTTTTTCTAGGTTGGATATGCTGTTGTATCTCTTATTTTCGTTTTCGCATGTGTGGTCAGTTTGTGTACGAGACTCCCAACTGATAATAATTCTTATCGTCTGTGGGCTAAACAGGGATTTATCACGGGCGCCGTGTCTAATGTGATTCTTGCCGAGAGGCTAGGATTCGGAAAAGTACGCCCATACAAACAGAGTCTGGACATTTTATCTGATGATCCTGACTTTTTGTAAGGTGATGGTACTAGGTACTGCCACTGATATCGAGGGTCGCATAATTCTCAAATTCTCGCACTCTAGGTTCCCTATTTCAAGTCGTGGCATACAGTATCGAGGCTTCGGGGCCACCTTTTCCCGTGTTTATATTTGCGTACTTTATTAACGGAATTGGAATAGCCCTACAGGTGGGTATATTTGCTTATCATCGTGCATCTTTGCTAACTCGTGACACAGAATGCAAATTCAGTCGGCTATATTGCATCCATCAGAGAAAATGCAGAAGTGAAGATGGGCCTTTTCATGGCAGGTACGCATTAGGCATTTTTATGCAAGCCATTCACCTCGCTTACTCTCGAATTATGTAGTATATGGTAATTTCACCAACAGGTTTTTTCGTGAAGTCAATGCTCACAACTCATAGGGGCCGGGGCGCTCTCATCGCCTCTGGTTGCCACTCAATTCTCACATCTACCTCGGTGGAATCTACATTACTTGACATCCCTTGGAATTGCGATCAGCAATACAATCGCCTTGATTATAGTCTTCCGGTTGAAGCCCCAGAGAGGTAAGGACAATGTGCATGACACGTTTTTGCTTGGTCTTTGAGATCAGTTAAATTCTCTAGAGTGTCTTGCCGAGATAGGCATCGTGGACGTAGATAACAGTACAAGCGAGCACAGTCATCTCAGGCAGATATTCGCGAACAAAGATGTCCATCTTCTGGCAGCATTCGCTCTACTCTATGTTGGAGCCGAGGTTACTGTTGGCGGTTCGTGACCGTCTACAATGGTTCTAACGATATATCTGACAGTCTGAAAAAGGCTGGATTGTTACCTATATTATTGATGTCAGAGGTGGAGGGCCCTCATCTGGTTATATTTCTACTGGTTTTTTCAGCGGTATGCAATAGCGCTCATTGATAGACTTTGACTTATTCTCCTATTCCGCAGGTCTCATGGCTGGTCGAGTAGTCTTGCTATGGTTTAATGAAAAGGTAGATTGCTCAATTGAAGCTGGACGAACATTTTGGCTGATTTGGGACCCAATAGATCGGAGAACGCTTGGCCTTGTTTATCTACGCCGTTCTGGCTATCATGTTAGTAATGGAAACGTGTTTGCTCTATCATTACTGATACATCCATTTCTGGTAGTTTCGAGTTGATCGTATGGTTCGTCCCATCTTTGGTAGGAGATGTAGTCGCTGTCTGTATAGTTGGCGTATTGCTGGGGCCAATGTACCCAATTCTTGTAAACCATGCAGGACGCGTCCTTCCTCGCTGGTTACTCACTGGTATGTCTTAAACAGTCTAACAATTATTTGTAATTCACGATTCCCGGGACATAGGTGCCATTGGCTGGATTGCAGGAGTTGGGCAGGCAGGCTCTGCACTGGTTCCGTTTATCGTGGGTGCTATCGCGCAAAAATCTGGAATTAAAACCCTGCAGCCTATGTACGTATCATAATAACGATCCGAGAAGGCATGTCACACCTCACATTATTTTTTTTAGATTGGTTGGCATACTGGGTCTTATGACTGCGTTATGGGCGTTGGCGTCCCGTGGTTCGCGTCGCCCTGATTGAAGGGTTTGAATTTGAATTCAGGTTGTATATATCTAGAGATTTCATGATGGGGTGATTGATCTAAATGATAAAGTTCTATAGGGTTGTACTCGGGCCGGTGTAAATAGAAGTCATACATGGGTCTCATGATCTACAAAGTTAACTTTGGAGTACCATACATCGTTAGATTTGATGTTTTCGTCCTAGTCCATGCACAACATTGTACTAGTAGTATCATCTTATGATAACCGTAGAGCGGGCGTGCATGATAATCTATGTATGGCTTGCATGTCTGAGCCAGTCGTCGACACCGATGTCAGCACCTGAAGAATACATTTTAGTAAGGGCATGAATCAGATCATGGCGCAAATCTAGACAAGGAGAAACTCACCAACCACGCGGCAAGACACACCTTTATCAAATTCTTCATCTCTAAAATTCAGGTAGCCGACACACGATCATAAAGGAATGTCTCCAACCAGACTGCAGCATGATCAGAAAGTAAAAACCTTATAATCAGCAAAATAACACTTTCGTTCGCGCACTGAATGGCCACGGCGAACTGTTTTTTTTTCTCGAAATCGTGCTGCAGCACTAAAATTAAAAAAGGATACTGCAAGCAATACCATTTTCTCCATATTACCCACCACTAGCACTACGGCAGTATGTTCTGCCGCCTGAACGAGCATGGACAGTGCTGAGTGGACCCTTTGTCCTTCGCAGCATCAGCGTCGAGCGAGGAGAAAAAAAATCTTGCTGAAAATTCTTTGTGGTATGTGGATGACGATCATAGACATCCTGGTACACACACCATCGGAAAAAGTCTTGCATGACAACTTTAAGTTGGAAGGAAAGGTTTTTCCGAAGTAATGCACTCGCACAGTTTCTAACGTCAATAACGTGTTACCTTGGAAGCCGACGAACGAGGAGAAAAGAAACTTAGCGCAGGCCCCTGAGGTTCCACCTGCTTCGAACGTAGACGGGCGGATTGCGAGGGAGCAATACCTGGTTGTGTTATCATGATGCATATCGTGTAGAGAGCCTTAATCCTAATAGCCACACAGTGTAAATACAACCACACATAGTTTTTCCGACATAATTCCGTTGGGCTCAAAAAGTCGGTAAAAGCTCGGAGAAATAGTATGTGGTTGTATTTGGTTCGTGGCTATCAGGATTAAGTCTTTACACTGGGTGTCTGGCATAGACCTTGTTGAATCACGCCATAAAAAAGTCACGCAATCTGAACCATAAATCTGGGACAATGAGGACTCCCAACGAGGCCCGTACAGTTGAGGTGGCATATCTTGTCTTGATCATTTTTGAGAACCGGCATACTACTCTAGCTAGATCATGGAACCATTGGAAGGACCTCCAACGAGGCCCGTTCGAGGATTGTGCTGCTATCCTACAGCTTCAAGACAAACTCCCAATGTACTCTAGGCTATATATCTAGACCATTTTCAATGGAGAGAAAAAGGAAATGTACTGTACGATTCAACAAGGATGAGTCGGAGACTACTGCGTCAGCATACTGATAAGGTTATGCTGTACACGTGCCGGATCAAGATCTACGCTCGCACGCAGGCTTCGAATGACTGCTATCCACCCCTCTACAGCGATGGGAAGGAGCCTGGGCTTAACGTCGTTGTGCTTCCACTGATAATAATATTAGTAGTAAGTCTTTCTTACGTACTGGCTTATAGAATGGTAATCAACTGAATCAGCGGTGCCGTGACGTTCACCCGCATGATCAACTTGAAGCCTTCATGCGGGCCCCGCGGCTTGGATCCTTTTACTCGCAGGTAATGTGATGTCCTTTATCAGTACCTCCTCTCTCGCTTACTCGAACCCATTCATCCTTCCAGTTCTGTTTCCGAGTCATAGTAACCTTGGATCCAAGAACATCCCTAGGCTGTAGTTCGCGCACACAAATTCAGAACTCATCATGCAGGCGACGACAATCAGCGAAGTCCATACGGTTTCGCACCATCCGACAGTTGACCCTCATCACGATCTTAAACTTGAAGAGAGTGGCAAGCACGATGAACGAATCGAAATGCGAGCGGGGTCGTCTGCAGGTGATTCAGGAGCAGCATCTGTCTCTGACCTGAAAGCCCAAACGAAACGTCAGCGGCTGCGCGCACGGGTGCAATTTGCCACAGTTTGCGGGGCGATGTACGTGGCTGGATGGAATGATGGGTCGACTGGTCCATTGCTCCCCCGAATACAGGAAGTGTATGGCGTAGGTGGTTTCAAACTCCTGCATTTCTCTCTTAAGTTGACCGTCCTATCGTCTTGACAGTTGAATTTCACTGTCGTATCTCTGGTATTCGTGTTCGCATGTGTTGTAAGATTTTACTGCATGTGTAAGATTCACCAATGAGTCTTAGTTACTCGATAGGGCTTCCTGTCCGGAGCATTCGCAAATCTATATCTGAACGGCAAGTTTGGTTTCGGAAAGGTAAGTTCATCTTCGATGATTTCTCACGGTCTCTGAGGCACGCTCCGTGATCTAGGTCATTGTGTTAGGTAAGGGCGGGTCATTGCAACCAGAGGTCATAGTCGCCTTATCATTGTTCAGGGTCTGTGTGTCAAGTGATAGCATACGCCATAGAAGCGGGTGCCTTGCCATTTCCTGCATTCGTGCTAGGTTATGCCATCAACGGCTTTGGAATGGCTCTACAGGTAAGTTATTCAAGTACAACGCATTCTGCGGCCCGGATGCACCTTGAAATTAGGACGCACAATCGAATGGTTATGTGGCCAGTCTCAAGGATAACCCTGAGGTGAAAATGGGAATCCTCCATGCGGTAAGTGTTGTCTTGTCCCTGAACTCTCCATTTATCTAACTATTCAAAGGTATACGGTACGTTATACCTCGTCCAATGTGACCGATGTTCCTATCTTCATTTTTAGGTTTTGGCGCTTTGTCGTCCCCTCTGGTAGCAACCCAATTTGCTCAGCTTCCGCACTGGTCATTTCACTACCTGTGCAGCCTTGGTATATCGTTCATAAACACTGTACTATTGATTGTAGTCTTTGGGTTGAAAACACAGGATGGTATGACAAGCACTTATATTATTGAGAAGACGGCTGAGCTTCCCACAGAGTGCCTTGCTAAGATTGGACAGCCGCCAGGCGAAAAGGGAACAAGTGAAAAGAGCCAGTTCAACCAGATATTGCGCCTCAGAGAAGTGCACCTCCTCGCCTTCTTCATTTTGATATATGTAGGAGTGGAGGTCACTATGGGTGGTAAGCATACAACTTAAGTGGAGAAGATGTTTATCCTAAATATTACTCCAGGCTGGATGGTGACGTACGTAATCGACGTGCGCGGAGGAGGTCCAAGTTCGGGATACATATCAACAGGCTTTTTTGGAGGTGAGCTTTTCGGGGTATGCTAGGCGTTCGACTGTTTATTTGTAAATAGGTCTCATGATTGGCCGTGTCGGTCTTCTGTGGGTGAACAAAAAGGTAAGTTTCTATTCCGTTCGCAGCAAGCAACATAGATCCCAAAGATCGATCACAGGTTGGGGAACGTCGTGTTTTGTTCATTTACTCCATCCTCGCAATTGGGCTGGAATTAGTAGTATGGCTGGTACCTTCGCTCATCGGTGGAGCCGTTGCGGGTCTCCATAATTGGTATATTTTTGGGGCCGATGTACCCCATCGCTATGAATCACACAGTACGAATCCTCCCTGAGTGGCTCGTTACAGGTGATTTTATGTTTAGTAGCGCGAGTATGGTCAACTGAAACCTGGATGTAGGGTCGATTGGCTGGATAGCAGGGTTCGGGCAGGCAGGTTCTGCGCTCTTGCCATTCTTAACCGGTGCCATTTCATCGAAGGCGGGAATCAAGAGTTTACAGCCATTGTGGGTGCTCCTTATAGTTCTGTCTGTGTTTGATTAACTGATCATTGGTGGCACAAAAGTCTCGTTTCGATGATGGCGTTCATGACGGTCTTATGGTATCTGGTGCCGAGAACAGCTAGGAAAACTGAATGATATATGCTTCAACAGCTGTGTCTTGTGGAAGGTCTGACATGTGGCATAGACATAGACAGGATATGACAAAATCGATCTCTCCGAGTTATCTGCAGGCGATGAGCTAGTAGCAGACGAACTTGATAGAACTGCCGCGCAAACTATACAATATGGCCGCAGGAGGGTGATAACACCTTGTACTGTCTTGTTTGTGTACCGCACGCCACACGCCTACGACGTCGATTCCGCTGTTGGGCCCGGGGACTGGATTGTGATTCCAGCACGAGTGCTACTCCGAGTCATCCTCAAAGAGACGGTAACACACTCCTACTATTCCCGGCGTCGCATCTCATTCACATTGCATCTATCTCAAACATATATGAGCACGAGATCCTGCCGGCGATGGCGTCGTTGCGTTCTGTCTCTTTCCGACAGTTCTTTCCGTCTGCTGCGTCATGCTGTACATGGTGTTGTACACCCATGCTCCCGGCTCCGCCTCCTTTTTGCAGCTCTTTGCTCATTACTATGGCGACCTCTGCTTCATTTCGTGGCGTTGTCGGCCTTCAAAAGGTATCAGATTGATAAAAATAGTTTCTGGCGCTATGACAGATTCAATACTAATAATCACGAAGGCGAGTCCTTGTATGACGCTATCCTGCAGGGCAGAGCTTGTTATAAGCTGACAGGTTGCTACTAGCAGATTGGGCTCCTTAATAACATGTACATCATTTGCAGAGTGCCCGTCATCGATATCTCATCAATGACGCTTTCTTACTCATTAAGGAGAAATTTCAATTTCTACAACATATATATAAGCACGAATAAGAAGCAAGGTTGGAAGGCCTCTAACCACCGCATCTCTTCCGCATGTCTCCTCAACAGAAAGCTCTTTTTCTTACGCAAAAGCAGGGCAAATTTGAGCTTGGCTCCCGCAGCATCCCCAGCCCCGGGGCTGGGCAGCTTCTGGTCAAGATTCAATCTGCTGCTCTAAACCCGGTTGACCACAAGATCCAGGACACGTCGATGTACGTGACCAATTACCCTGCCATCCTTGGCACAGATATTGCTGGCATTGTCGAGGAACTAGGAGAAGGTGTCGAGAATTTCCGCAAAGGCGATAGAGTGTCAGACAATTCGTTTTTTTGCCCCTGTCTATATAGGCTCAACCTTGGTTTACAGGTTGGCGCACGGCGGATTCACTAATGACCTTGGTGGATTTCAGCAGTATGCCTTGACCGTTGCGAGCTATACAGCAAAGGTGAGTTATGAGAAGGTTCATTGACTGCATCGTCAGATACATCCCATTCCAGATTCCTTCAAGCCAATCTTTCGATAGCGCGGCTACTGTTCCTGTGGGGTTTGATACTGCACTGGTGGGCTTGTATGGAAATGAATTTGGAGCTGGAGTGGGCCCTCCCTGGACGAAAAGCGCCGGCTGACCACGAATCAAAGAAACCCATTGTCATCTTTGGCGGTTCTTCTTCTGTAGGTTCATACGGTAAGCGTAGTGGGACTGGTCTATTCGACCGCATACTGACAGTATTGCAGTCATCCAATTGGCTCGTCTGTCAGGATTTTATCCTATTATCGCTACAGCCTCTCCGAGCAACGAGGATCTTGTCAAGGACTATGGCGCAACGCATTTCTTTGATCGCAACCTTTCCGGCAAACAACTGATGGCGGCCATCAGCAAAATTACTGACCGCCCTATCGAAGTTGTTTATGACGCTATCTCGGCGCCAGAAACACAGGTTGTTGCATGGGAGTTGCTTGCAAACAATGGCACCCTCATAGTGACCGTTCCTGCATCAGTCAAGGAAGACGAAGGCAAGGGGCGCAAGGCCATCCATACCTTCGGGTACCCACACGTCCCCCAGAATCAAGAGCTGTGGTGCAGCTCCTGGGCTATGCTCGAGAAGTGGCTCTCAGAGGGTACTATTCAGGTTTGTTCTGTAATCATTCATTTGGGTTCTGTGTCTCACAGTTATGTAGCCGAACAAGTATGAAGTCCTCCCGAATGGGCTTGAAGGTATTGTTGGAGGACTGGAAAGGTTGAAATTGGGACAGGTGTCTGGAAGGAAGTTGGTTGCTCACCCTCAGGAAACACAGTAAATGCGTAGGTCGCGGAAGCTTCAAGTTGTTTGCATCAGGCGGGATAGGATCAAATTGTACATAATTAGGCGTCGCAGTTACAAGGTTATCATGTGTACAAAATGACAATATAGGAAATTGGATGCAGTCAACAACTTGAAGTAGGTTGGAAGTAGGAGATCTATTATTGGCCTGTGACAGTGTGACTCGTGATCCATGAGCTATATTTGTACTAGTAGTGTCCCAGATTGCGCCTTCAGACATGCCACCCATTCCAACAACGCTAGATGCTGAAACACACTCTCTAATTGATTCCATCGAACGACACCATAATGACCTTTCAACTTTTCAGATTCCTCGTCTGAGAGCTTGCACCGGTCCTTTGACCACGCAACAAGCATGGGCTGCGGAGGTGAGGGAGGACATTGAAGGTCTGGCAAGGCAGATCGAGGTTTGTCAGTTCGCGCATTGATATTCAACCCATATTCACAAATTGTAGGAGCTGGATGTCCTTGTTGATGACCACAGGACTGAAGAGACGAGAAGAGAGTTGAGGAGAAGAGCTGAAGTCTTTCGTGATTCATTAGTCAAGTATGTAGCCGTTTGACCGTCCAGTATTGTCTCCGGCCTCTGACAGGTCTTTCTCTCTTGATGTCAGTCTACGCAAAGACTCTCGAGCAGCATTGTTAGCGTCGAAACATGCAATTGACTCCCAAAATCGGTCGCAGCGAGAGGAGTTGTTGAGGTCTCCTGCCATTCGAGAGAAAAGTACAAGTTCCTCGGGCGAGAAAGTCACGTTCGTGCGCGGCATGCATTCGTACCCCCCGATACGGCTGACCCATGAACTACAGCGAAGACGCACTCGTGAAAGCCAATCATAATGTCACAGAAGCACTGCAACGAACAACTGGACTTCTGCAGAAAGAACTCGAGCGCAGTGTCTCGTTAAGCCAAGTCCTAGGCAAGTTCTTCACGGTACCATTTTTCTTTAATACCTACCGTCTGTTTCATACAGAATCATCTACTGCAACTGTCCAATCCGCGTCCACGACGCACGACACGTTCAATCTCGTCCTCGGCACCTCCAAACAACTTATTACCGCACTCGAAAAGACAGACTGGCTCGACCGCGTCCTTATTATTTCTGGCCTCGTGTTTTTCGGCCTCGTGGTCCTTTTCATCCTGACGCAGCGCATCATCGGCCGCGGGCTACGCATCGCCTTTTTCTGGACGAGGTTATTGCCAAGCTCTGGCTCGAGTACACGCGCGGTGGTGCAAAAGGCTGGGGAGGTTGTAACGACTGCGTCGGCTGTGCTGGCGTCGTCGATAGGTGGTCAGGATGGCGGAGTCGGTCAGTTGATAGAATCCAGCATGGATGTGTTTAATTCCCCTAGTTTCACAATATCGGCTACGGAGCCATGGACTACTGAACAGCATGGCGGCTCAGGACACGCACATGTTGAATTATGATAATTTTGATAATTCCGTCGATAGACTCACAGGACATGCACGGACTTAAGTATAGAATGCAGAATGAATATTATAAGTTATTAGTAACAGTAGTTGCAAAAGTTCTGGGTGGTTTCCCGTGTAATGAGAGACACGGTGAAATGTAAGCCATACGCACGAGATGTGTATCGAGCATTGGCGACTCGGAGATGAAGAGCGCATCCGAGGAGGAGTTGGCTGGGAAATGTACTGGTATGATATGGGGCGCAATTTAGCATATAATATATTGGCCAGGCAGTAAAAACGAGTCAAAATTGTGAACGATGGAATGCGGCTCATGATCATAAATGAGGCTTGGGCGCTTCCATTGCACAGCACATGCTGTAAGCTGTGAAGTGAATACAAGGATAATGCATGGAAAACGTACCGACTCAGACTTTCAGTGCACTCTTGACTTATTATGTCTTGTGCCAACGCGTCAAGACGTGCTAAGAAACATATTGTCGTAAGTAATGATTTGGACTTTGTTGGATGAAAGCCGAGATAGACTCGAGCTGCGCCCAATAGTTGATTATGTCTTCACTCGTCGTTAGAAAACAGGAGGCATTAACGATAAATCCCAGCGGGAAATTTAAAGGATACACCGATTCGGTCGAGGGCGCCATATATCTGACAGGCAGATAGCGGATGATGACGTGTTCAAGGGAGGGCTAGATGCCGGCGGGGTATAGAACTTGAAGAGTGGGAAACAGATAGGAGAGGACTGTCAAGACGGGGATAGCGAAGTGCGGACGATAACGTTGTCTCCGGGCGGGAAAACAGTCGTTAGCGGAAGTAAGGTTGGGGGGTGAGTATCGACATAGGCAAAGTTATCGCGAAATGAGCGGGACACACAAAAATAGTGTCGTCTGTGTGCTTGAGTCGAGATGGCCAGCGAGTGGTGAGCGGATCCTACGATGGGACTGCAGGTGAGTGGGAGGACGTAGAGAACGGAGAGACAATCCTCGGTCCAATCGAGACTGGGCACAAAAAGGTGTTCGCAGTCGTCTACTCGCCAGACACTGCAACTGGTGGACACGATGAGACCTGGTATACCGAGAGCTCAAAGACGCCTGCGCTGCTTGTTCGCATGGACTGAATAACAATACGATAAGGCTATAGAAGAAGGGATAGACTGAGCAGTAAGGAAGCACGCTCTGTATGTTGGGTGTATGCTTGTTGGGTCTGTCATTACCATGCATGCGGAGGACTGGTTTGACATTTTACGCGGGAAGGATATACAGTAAAAACATTCCTATAATCCGCAGGCTTCACGTTGTCCTGTAACGAAGGCAATGAACTATGAAGCTGAAGTTAGACATGTCAATGTTACTGCAAAGTGCAAGAATCGTAATTACACAATACAAGCGAATAGCAGTCTGCGAGTATCTGCTTCCCCGACTCCCACGTTACTATCAGAGCATATATCATTCAGCTTTGCTAGCTGTTCTCGGCACCAAATACCATAAGACCGTCATGAACGCCATCATCGAAACGAGACTTTTGTGCCACCAATGATCAGTTAATCAAACACAGACAGAACTATAAGGAGCACCCACAATGGCTGTAAACTCTTGATTCCCGTCTTCGATGAAATGACACCGGTTAAGAATGGCAAGAGCGCAGAACCTGCCTGCCCGAACCCTGCTATCCAGCCAATCGACCCTACATTCAGCTTTCAGTTGACCATACTCGCGCTACTAAACACAAAATTACCTGTAACGAGCCACTCAGGGAGGATTCGTACTGTGTGATTCATAGCGATGGGGTACATCGGCCCCAAAAATATACCAATTATCGAGACCGCAACGGCTCCACCAATGAGCGAAGGTACCAGCCATACTACTAATTCCAGCCCGATTGCGAGGATGGAGTAAATGAACAAAACACGACGTTCCCCAACCTGTGATCTTTGGGATCTATGTTGCATGCTACGAACAGGGTAGAAACTTACCTTTTTGTTCACCCACAAAAGACCGACACGGCCAATCATGATGCCTATTTACAAATAAACAGTCGAACGCCTAGCATACCCCGAAAAGCTTACCTCCAAAAAAGCCTGATGATATGTATCCCGAACTTGGACCTCCTCCGCGCACGTCGATTACGTACGTCACCATCCAGCCTGGAGTAATATTTGGATAAACATCTTCTCCACTTAAGTTGTATGCTTACCACCCATAGTGACTTCCGCTCCTACATATATCAAAATGAAGAAGGCGAGGAGGTGCACTTCTCTGAGTCGCAATATCTGGTTGAACTGGCTCTTTTCACTTGTTCCCTTTTCGCCTGGCGGCTGTCCGATCTGAGCAAGGCAGTCTGTGAGAAGCTCAGCCGTCTTCTCAATAATATAAGCGCTTGTCATACCATCCTGTGTTTTCAACCCAAAGATTACAATCGATAGTACAGTGTTTATGAACGCAATACAAAGGCTGCACAGGTAGTGAAATGACCAATGGGGAAGCTGAGCAAATTGGGTTGCTACCAGAGGGGACGACAAAGCGCCAGCACCTAAAAATAAAGATAGGAACATCCGTCGCATTGGACCGCCATGGAAGAGGTATAACGTACCGTATACCTTTGAATAGTTAGATAGATGGAGAGTTCAGGGACAGGGCAACACTTACCGCATGGAGGATTCCCATTTTCACCTCAGGGTTATCCTTGAGACTGGCCACATAACCATTCGATTGTGCGTGCTAATTTCAAGGTCCATCCGGGCCGCAGAATGCGTTGTACTTGAATAACTTACCTGTAGAGCCATTCCAAAGCCATTGATGGCGTAACCTAGCACGAATGCAGGAAACGGTAAGGCACTCGCTTCTATGGCATATGCTATCACTTGACACACCAACCCTGAACAATGATAAGGCGACTATGACCTCTGGTTGCAATGACCCGCGCTCACCTAACACAATGACCTAGATCACGGAGCGTGCCTCAGAGACCGTAAGAAATCATCGAAGATGAACTTACCTTCCCGAAACCAAACCTGCCGTTCAGATATAGATTTGCGAATGCTCCGGATAGGAAGCCCTATCGAGTAACTCAGACTCATCGGTGAATCTTACACACTAATACATGCAGTAAAATCTTACAACACATGCGAACACGAATATCAGAGATACGACAGTGAAATTCAACTGTCAAGACGACAGGACGGTCAACTTCAAAGAGAACTACAGGTGTTTTGAACCACCTACGCCATACACTTTCTGTATCCGGGGGAGCAACGGACCAGTCGACCCATCATTCCATCCATCTAGGTACATCGACCCGCAAACTGTCGCAAATTGCACCCGTGCGCGCAGCCGCTGACGTTTCGTTTGGGCTTTCAGGTCGGAGATAGATGCTGCTCCTGAATCACCTGTAGACGACCCCGCTCGTATTTCGATTCGTTCATCGTGCTTGCCACTCTCTTCAAGTTTAAGATTGTTATGGGGGCCAACTGTCGGATGGTGCGAAACCGCATGGACTTCGCTGATTATTGTCGTCTGCATAATGAGTTCTGAACTTGTATGCGTGAATCACAGCCTAGGGATGTTCTTGTTACTAAGGTTACTATGACTCGGAAACAAAACTAGAAGGTTGAATGGGTTCGAGTAAGCGACAGAGGAGGTACTGATAAAGGACATTTCAATGTTCCTCAAAAGGACATTACATTACCTGAGAAGAGCTGCGAGTAAAAGGATCCAAGCCGCGGGGTCCGCATGAATGATGAAGGCTTCAAGTTGATCATGCGGGTGAACGCCACGTCACCGCTGATTCAGTTAATTACCATTCTATAAGCCAGCACATGAAAAGACTTACTACTAATATCATTATCAGTGCAATGCCAGAAGAACGACGACGCTAAGCTCAGGCTCCTTCCCACCGCTGCTTCGAGTGTAGAGGTAGTATAGCAATCGCGTGTGAGCGTAGATCTTGATCCAGCACGTGTACAGCATAATCTTATCAGTATGCTGACGCAGCAAGTCTCCGACTCACCAACAAGTCATTGTTGAAGCTTCAGATCCCGAATTGTGAACACCAGGACCGTTAGGGGTAGATTCTGGCGTTGAACGGGTGGAATCTAGATTAGGCAAAGGAATTCGGAACAGTTGCTGAAGGAGGCGGTGCAGTAGCTTGGTCAGCGACTCAGTGTCCTTTGGGTAGCGTACTAATGGTCTCCACCGGTTCTCGCCTGGCTGGACCACTCGCCGCTCGCGACACGCAGTGCCGCACACAGTTGCGGATACACCGCTCCAGTACCACTACGTGGTGCGTCCGAGTCCGACTTATGATTAGGTGCGGCACAATGTATCCCTATACCTCGCATCAGTCATAGTTGACTAGCGTACAGTTGACAATCCAAAGATATTTCTGATGCTTATAATGGTCGTTCTGTGCCCAAAGCAATTACATTGGTCTTGAAGGATATACCCATCGTTTGAGAAAGAGTATCGCTCCGACTCGTCTAGGAAAGCCGGTATATTTACTCGAGCTTTCAAAGCATCGTGGCCCAGACGAAGCATCCTCCGGACAAGACAGTCTCTTCACGTACGATTTTTGACCGGTGCGATGACGAAGGTCGTATGTTATCGTCCCGACGCCCAAATATGCAGATATCCTGAAGCAAGTGCGACTTCAAGCGCGTTTCGTGAGGGATCGGTTCGATGACGACTAGTAGCTCTGCTTGCCACTACTTGGTGCGTACCATCCAATATATCTTGATGTCGCAGAGCCGACTACAGCTAAACGATTCAGGATCAGCGAGGAAACCCCTGATCACAATACGTTCGGAATTCCACCTCACACATGAACCACAATTACGTCTTCCAATGCACTGTTGTATCAGAGCCTCCTCCATCCCTGATCTCCTCACCGGCCAGTCGACCTGGTACACGCTTGCAGCGAAAGGCCGCGATGTGAAGAAGATACTTTAACATGCTCTCACCGACACAGCGTTAATCAAGGCACTAGTTAAATGAAGGCTAGTTGCTAACTGATTACATCCACCCCTTTACTTACAGATTCATGTATCAATCCAGATCAATCGGTTTCATGTAGACGAGAACGGGTTAGCTTCTTCCAGTCTGTTTTACATGTATCATTACTCAAAGTTATCTCAAATTAGAAGAAGCGTGTGCCTGAAACGACCAAGGCTGACCTACTACAGAGGTTAAGCCTTCCTTTAAGTTGTAGGAAAGTAGGACCCTCCGAGGTGGCTGCGTGTTTTAAGGATTGATGATGTTTCAACCATCAAGCAGATCCAGGATCAGTATCATTAACATTGAGCGCATGTGAGTTTCCGGATGATCAAATTAAATCTAATTATGTGTATTATCGGGTACGTGTTACATCCAAATAGAGGTCTTACTAATATGTCGTCAATGAAAATACAGAACATTTCTGGCACCAACTGTAACTTTTACTAAGTTGCGCCCAGCCTGGTACCCACGTCAACTGTAAACCAGCTAATGAAACAATCCATTACGATATCCTCAGCGGCATAGCGTCCCCAGTATCCGGTCTTGACGGGTTCCCAGCTCATTTAAGGAGGTGAATGGATGTGTACGCGAAACCCATTTGTTTCCTCTGGAACGAATCCAGATGGAATATTCGGCGGACGATCTCGCAGCGGCCAGAAACCTGCAGATCTTTGTGGTGCGTTGCTTTCTTGACACGACAGCGAGATGACGGATATATCACTTGCGGCAACTAGTACTTATACAGTGCGTGTTGTCTGAACTGCATCTTCCTCGTTCTGACTAGACAGCTCAGCGTCGATGGCGACATTCTGGGTATGTTTATCCCGATCTGTTTCCGTCCGCCGTTAAATTTGGTTATTCAGACCTATGACTATATTTGTTCACTTCACGAAGAGGTAAGTTTCGCGGTACGCCTCGGCTCTGATATTAATAATATGCTGTTGAAGTGGACATTCCTTCTTCGGTCGCGCTGGACCAAAGTAAAAGCCCTTTATATCACTGCACGATATGTCCCCTTTTTAATCGCCACCGTGAACCTATATCGTGCGTTCATCCCAGTATATATTCCCCCAACTTAATGAATTGGCATACTGTGCTTCAGTGGCCATGGACCCGAACGACAATGCCAACGTATGTGAACATGGACATCTATCCACCGATGAATGACGCTAACTGTATGACTTTGGCAGAAATGCCAGATATTGATGAATATCATCACATGTACGTGCCCGGTATCTATTGCATGCACGTTCTTATCGAGCGCTGCCATTTCGTCTTACAGCCTTGAGTCTGATTTCACTCACTTGCTCTGAATGTATATCTCCTTCCTTCGAGACATACACGTGTCTCTGATCTGATTCTTCCAGGCTTTTTTGTCCTCAGAACGTATGCGCTCTGGAACAAAAATAGAATCATACTCGTAGTCATGCTGTCCACCCTTTTCGTAAGCCCCACGCCCTCACCACACCCAAGTTCAATGTTGATACATCAGTCAGGCTGTCATCGCATCATCCTTCATCATTGGTTTTACTGCTACTGTGACCTCTCATTGTTTGTGCTCTCACCTTCACTCACTGCTATTTGCACATATTCACTCCGCTTTCACAGCTACGGATAACACGATCCCAGGCTGTCGCCGAAACTCGGGCAGTTTCTCATTCTTCGTACCGTTTATTCTCTTGTTTGTGTTCCAACTGGGTAGGTAGCCGGAAACTGGGAGTGTACATTGCAGACACGCGCTGACTGACGCTATCCCCAGTACTGGTGTCCCTCACACTCGTGTGTGTCATACAGAGTTGGCGGTCTGCCAAGGGCCCTCTCTATGCCATCCTAGTGAAGCATAACATATTCTACTATACATGCGGCCTACGTGAGTCAGAACTTACATATGTTTCCATGCTCATCGGTGATGATTAACTTTTCGAAAGTTCTCTCGACCGTGAACGTCCTTGCGCCAGTACTAGTGCTGCCGCTTTCTGAAGTGCGTAAACAATACGAGTCTTCGACATGATTGAACCATTGATGATGTTGCGCACACCCAGTTCCTATCCTACTTCCTCCCCGAAGCGTATGCACCTCCAACTTCTTTTGCGAATTCCTACTGACAACACCCCCAAACACACATACGGTTTTGAGGTCTTTATCCTTGCGATCCTCGCTACGCGCATGCACCTCCATCTCTGGCATATGGATCAGCACGTGAACGACTCTGACAACGTCGTGTGGATATCTATGTCGGACATGTCACCTGCAGATCGTTCGGTGTAACGTGTTATCGTGTGGCTTATTCGGCGTCGTTTGTGAAGTGGGACTTGGACTACCAACTTGCTCTTCGTTGGTGCAACACATGTAATCTTACGTGAGCTACCTTTTCTCTCTGTCCGATTATGAATTCTTGTGTTCCCTGCTGTCGGTTTTGCCCTTCATGCCTGTTGATCATCGACCCTCTTTAGTCTTAAGCATCCTGTGCCATGAGTATTCTCACACCATCGTCGATACCCTCTGTGAACCACTTCAAACCCAGTCTGAAAAACTCAGAGAGGGCCCAAAACTTGCGAAAGAGCGAGCAGCTTCACAAGAACGTCAGATTCGATCAGATGTTGAGCAGGCTTGGCCAACGGTTGTGCCATCCACTGTCGTACTCGAGTGCTCACGTACAGCGTGTTCGCAACATGTTGAGACCGTCAATGAAGTTGTGATCCAGAATGGGAACCACGATGACAATCTGCCTCTCGATTTCGACGTCCTTGGTGTGACAAACCGCTTCATTATCCAAAAGTGCGTTGCGCAGACGTTGTCCTCCGAGTTTACGAACTATGACTGTCCCGTGTTAGGTGGTGTCATGCTTGACAAGAAGAAGGTGTTGGGATAAATCGGATTCGGGAGTCGGGGACTGGTGCGCAAGCACCGCTACGATAGTAATATTGCAGGAGACAAATGTAAGCACGCTTAAGTCGTTGTCCATTGCATGTCGTCTCAGACTCGACAACCCCCGCAGTAACTGTAGCTGTTTTGCATGCCTCTATCTCCTGAACCTGCACCCCTCTCGTGTTCCGCCATGGTCGTCAGTTATTGAATCGACTTATGGTCCTACACAGTTGAAGCTTGTTATGTCGTTTGTACCAATCAACCTGATCTTTCTCCAGCGCAACTCGAACGGGAGACTGCCCATGTTTGCAGTCAATGCTTGTGGACATCGTGATCCACCTGCTACTGTGGGTTCAGCGCACAATCAGCTGCCGCGCAAGGACGAACACAATCAACTCGCTGGTCGCCTGCACTCAGTTCTGGTTGTGTGCATTCGTTTCCGCAGCTTGTCTCAACTCATTTTTGGTTTGCTTGCACTCATTTCAACTTGCCTCCACTCATTTTTGGTCGCCTGCACTCATTTCAAGCGAGGTGAGTACTTTTTTGTATTGTTGCTAGCCCGTCAGCAATCGCCAGACTACCGTTAGTACTCCAAATCTAGACGAACGAAGCGAGGAACTCCTCGGACATACCGTAACTTGCATGAACAGCGACGTGTTTTACAAGTGAGTTTTTCTGCACCATTGTCTCATCTGGTTAATGATTTTGTACTTGACCGTCTGGCGAGTCCGCTGGAGCAGGGCCAGCGGCCTAAGCCCAGAGCAAGGCAGACAAGGATGGATGCTAGCGTCTACGTGCTGACTAAGTTATGGAAAGGGCCGATCCCTTGCCGGTTGGTCATATATTTCTCTTCCAATCGTGTTTCTGACATATGAAATTTGAATACCATCCAAACTGGAATCTCGCTTGCGCAGGCTTCGATGCACCCTACCAGAACATTCGAGTGAAACAGGTGAATGGGCAGTTTGCCACCGACAAGCAATATACTCAATAAGCGGTTCTCAGATACAACGGTATTATGGTATCTGCCATCCTTCACCGTCCTAGCGCTTCTATAACCTTAGGCTAGAATGATTTTAGAGAGAGTCGAAACTCAATAATGTACTTAAAACATACCTTCGGAGTTTTCGAGATCTGCGTGTATAAGAACGTGAGTAAGCAAAACACTCAAAAACAAGGCTAACACTAGATAATTACCATCGTTCTGGTCGTAAGAGAAACGGTCTATGCGACATCTCTCGTCAGACAAAACACAAGAATACAGAGGAATCGAAACGTACAGAAACCAATGATAAAGTTGCGCTTCTCGACATCTGTGTCATCAACAGATTACTAGTATAACTCTTGAAAAGAGGGTCGGTACGAGGCAAGTACCTTTAGTCTCGATCTCAGGGGAGTCTGTAATGACTATGCCGCGACGCGTTTCCATGTCGTCAACATTCTTGTGAGACGGGTGCAGATACTAGTAGAGACATACTCTGCTCGCCCTCACTCTTTTTGACGGCTACAATGATGTGAGTAAAACATGCGAAAACAATGTCGGTGCTACAAGAGAAATACCTTGGGAGCGCTCTGACACAGCGGGTGCTGCTGCTGCCGTCTGCAGGAGAGCGATGGAGACGAGAACAAGTGACAAAAATCCTTTCATGATTGCTAGATGTCGCAGTGAAGTGATTGTTGGAGTTTCACTGGGGTGCTGAATGTACTTCGATTCAAGGAATGCTGCTTTTATATTGTTGCAAGCTCGATTATCAGACTCACTGACTCGGGCCTTTCCGTTTCGTGCGTTATTTCGATTTGCATAGGCAATGCATTTTTATCCAGTTACTTATCCGGGTGTCGGACGAACTAGGGTGGTACTGTGGGTACGGTGTATCCAGATGACGGTCCGGCTCCGATCTGGGCAAGCGCCCCTGACACATCTCTCCCTTGATCTGATCGATATATGGTCAAATTTCAAAACGCACACAACAAAGCAAAGCAAGGTGCCACGTAGTTTGATGCACTCGTCAGCTGTATCTCCCTCAAGATTATTCGTTCTTGTCAGTAAACAAGTGACCAAAACTTCTTCTCAGGTCGCAAGTCGCATCCAGCAATGCTTAACAGCTTCACACGTCAATCCTCAGAAATTCTGCGGATATTTTGGCCTAGTGCTTTGATCATCAGCATGTTATTGAACATTCTTACTATGTTGCGCTTGCAACCTACGTCGGTTGATGATAGGCAGTACAGTATGTCGCTGTCATTTCACTGGCACTGGCGGCCATAGTAGTTCAATTTCACCCATATTCAACGCAGCTTATATTGGCGAGGATCATCCAACAGAATTACCCCTCCGCCTGGACACTGTCGCATTGACATTCAACAGTTCGGAACATTATGGTATATCAGACGACATGGCCTGGTCGGACTGGAAATCGCTCGATCATTTTCCACATGGTCACGGATTTGTACGGTTGGGACCAAATGGTATTATAATTATCACTACATCGTGTATCAGACATTCATCATTCGCAAATTGTGCCAGGACGGTTATTTGGGATATCCATGTTTCACCAAATTCACTGCCTGCAAATAATCCGGCTAGCCCTCATCAATGGGCCCAACGGGCACAGTGGTCGTTGCATTAATATATTGCGGCAAGCCATTCTTTGCAAATCTGATATTACTCTCGATCGACTTATCACCCGCCCTGATGGATCGATGACAAGCACAGATGGTTTGAATGTGACACATGTTTGTCGGGATTGGTCGCAGGTTTATGCATATATCATAGAAAATCAGAAAGGTCCCATGTGGGAAGGGTAAAAGATGACATTGCAGTAGGGGACCCCAGGTGTAGGAGTTGTGTGAACGATTAAATAGGTTAGTGGCGGGATCACATGCGGTGGACCAGGGGTCCCAAGGGCAGGAGCTACGCACCAAGTCTGAAACACGAGACAAGCAAAGAGTACTACACACATGAAATCGAATTACAAATCCGGCCGGAGGATAAGCGTACGAAGACAGGGAATTACTCCAGCGAGTCACATAATAACTGTGAGGGACATTGCTACAAACTGACGATAAGCTATTAGCAACAATACTTGAAAAAATACTCACCTCAGGCTGGATGTAGTCTGGTGATTGCTGACAATAAAATCATATTCCCTGTGCGAGCGATTCAAGATGTTAGTGACGAAATCATGTACAGACTCACCAGATAGTCAACTACAAAATCATTAACCAGATAAGACAATGGGGCAGAAAAACTCACATGTAAAACAGGAATTGACGCAGATACGTCGCCGTTCAGGATGGGATACATGCAACTTACTACGGTATGTCGGAGTTCCTCGCTTCCGAGTCGCTCACCTGGATTTGGAGTACTAACGGTAGTCTGACGATTGCTGACGAGCTATTAGCAACAATGAAAAGAAGTATGGTTTCAAACCGGAAAAAACGACGGTCGAGTCACGCGTGACCAATCGTTACTGGTCGTGACCCGCCCATCTCCTCCTGGGCCCATGCCATACGGGCCGTCAGCTCAAGGCACCTCCGATCTGGATCCACCGTTGCTTGCTCGCTCAGCCCTCTCTAGCCAACCCCTGGCAACCCCAACCGGTTCTATTGGGGGACCCAAGAGAAAACAAGAGCGCTAGGCCTAGCGCGGAACACTGACACGCCACGCATCACGGAACGGCAAGGGGCGGAAATCGAGAATCGTAGGTGGTTTGCGTTACTCACCGAAGGCATCGTGTTTTGCTGACGGACGGATGTAGTAAAGGAGTGTGCTGTGTGGTTGCAGAATCGATACCACTGGCAGGATTTCGAGGATGGAGTGGTGGGGGAAAAGAGAGCAATGCTCGGAGGGTGAGTCCCATGTTATATGGTGCATGAGTGTGCTGTCAACCTTCCTTTTCTTCTGCTCCCCCGAAGTTTGGGCCCTTCCTGCAGATCTCTAAGTGACATCTCTGTTCGGATCCGCTGTGGGAGCGTTGGACCGGTGGGATCGGGGCGATTTGGCGACCAATTGCAACGGTAAGTAACACGACTTCGATCTTGCTTGCCACGCACCTAACTTGAAATAAATCTTGCTAAGGGCCGACGACTTGCAGAGGTGCCGCCGATTTTGATATGACGATCGAGTGCCGTTGGGCTGTTGGTGAGTCACTGTTCTCGGAAGAATGTGGGCTCACGATGTCACGCAGGTGAGACCGTCTTTTTCTGCCAAAGAAACCTCTGGTGGACGGTCAGAACTGCCTGCAAAGCCCAGGGGGGATGAGGGAAAGCAGAGCCTGCCAGACACGAAAAAGACGGTCCTCATGGGCGCTAAGACGGTCGCATGTGAGTCATAGGACGGTCCAGCTCTCTTATCAAGTTTCGCTCTGTTATGTCAACCATGAGGCATCCTTCTACTGTCCCGCATGCTGATTGTTTGCATTTGCATATCAGAGACCCGCCAAATTGCAAATTGGCCTGGCAACAAAGGGGTCTCAGCCCTCTTCAACTCAGACGTTGACCACTGACAATGGCAACTATCATCGACGCTGTCCAGAGCTTTCCAGGTCTGCATGGCCTGCTCATGCCTGCTACTGTCAGCAGTCCTGAAATGGACGACATCACCGAGGACTTCACTGCGGAACAAGAGACTATGCTCGCTGAACCATGCAAGAGCAACACGAACATCACGTCCACTACTTCAGAGTCGCGTCACGCAGTTGGCACCAGCTCGATCGATACGACATTGCAGTCCACGCTGATGGAGGCCTCAAAGGGTGTCACAGAGGGCACCAATGCCGAATATAAGAGGTGCGGGAGGTTCTTTCTTGTTAACGGCCAAAGTGGCACTCATCCTTGACAGGCTGATGAACTCGTGTGTGTCCTTTCTCAGAGGCCTCCATCTCTTGGGGCCGAGCGAAGATTTTTTCAGCAAAAAGCCACGGTCTGATACACCGTGGTTGATCGTGGCCTGGATCATGAGTGCGTGAGTGGTATGGTTCCATCCAGTATGACCAATTGCTGATGGTCAACGTGTTTCTGTGGCAGGTGTGACTCAATCAACCTCGATGGCACACCCAAGCCATCTCATGTCGAGCGGGGCACCTATGGGCATGCACAGAAGATGCGGGCGTCCATGACATACGCATTTGGGAGGCTTAGTGGTCTAGGCAATCTGACATGGCACGAGTCGGATATTGGAGGTGGGCTGATGGTTGGAAACCCTTCCATTTCCATCAAGGTATCATCCTACATGTGCTCGCTCCGCAGGCGCAAGGTAGTATTATTCTTCTCCCTTTGCCCGCATGATTCACCTTCTCTTCTTCATAGGTGCAAGCGGGCGAGGTTGCAAACAGTGCCCGGGCTATTACCTCGGTGAGTTTTTGGGTGCCCCCAGCTCTGAAATTGACTGATTAGCGAAGTTGACAGGAAATATTGCTAAAACTGTATCATTACAACCACCTCCCTGAAAATTGGACCATTCGTGCCTACCAGCCTGGCGAGCGCGTGCGTGGTGGCTCTGGTAATGACCTGAGTCGATGGGGTGGTGGGCGTGTACGGCGGCTTCTGTCAGCTGCCTATACTGTGGCATTCATATGCATGCTTCGTTTTGACGAGGTTCTGAAGATACAGGTACACGATCTTCGCGTGCACGATACCCAGATAGTGCTACACCTTCCCTTCCGCAAAACTCATCAAAATGGCGGTATGTGACTCCACTCTTGACCGTGAACTATTGACTCATGGATGTGCCCACTTACCTAGACATCAAAACCGTTTCACCTCTGGCCCTTTTCATCGTCCGAGGCACACCTCTGCCCAGTGAGAGCACTTGCTGCCTGGCTGAAGGAGTCGAAAGTCACGTCGGGCTACCTCTTTCGAAAGATTGCTTCAGGTGACCGAATCTCAGAGGCCAATAGTCCCATGGTATGTCAATTGTCTGACAGCTTACTATGATTCACGCTCAACTCGTCAGTCCTCTGAGCAGTTCCTGGAGCTTTTTCGGAACAACCTCCTCGATGTTGACATCGACCCTACTCCATATGGCACACATTCGTTCCGGAGGGGGGGGGTGCCAGTTCCTGCATGTCGAGAAGCGTTGGTCACTGCGGAGAATCTGCGAGTGGGGAGGGTGGAGTGTGGAATTTACGAACATGACAATCGTGAAGTATCTCATTTCTTCGAATGATGATCCCACTGAGCCAAGGGAGCAATTCCTGAACCCTAACAGACGGCCGATGGTGAAGTGCTCTCAGTGCGGGAGATGCTGTTCCTGTGGCTAAACTCTGCTCGCCGTCCGTACTACATTACATTATTTTCCCTTTCTTTGCCTTGCATTTTACCAGTCACTGTTTGTATAGCGCATTTTCTTAGCAACAAGGACTATTTCGGCCTCAGACGCTGGAGGAACTTCGAAGACCGATTGTCTGTTCACGCAAGGTGTCAACAAGGACTCTCTTGGCCTTGGACGCTGAATCCTGGGCATTCCACGGAGTGAAACATATGCTGAACTGTCGCAAATAGCATGGGTTCCCCATGGACTGGAACCAGGTTCAGAACATCTTGTTGTAGGTCCCTGGCTGAGACGGCAGTATACCAATACCTGTTATCATCGTGCCAAAACCCATGTGGTCCGGGAAGCAGATTCTTAGCATGGTGATCCCCTGTGGTATCAATATTCATAACTCGGGCCCCAGATCCTAAGTCCTTGTCCTCCATCTTTGGTGTTGCTTTCGAGGAAGGAAGACTGTAGGCGCCCTTCTCAGAGTGGTTTGGTGCACATCATCTTCCAGACTGACTGTCTTCTTGTGCAGTTTTGACCTTGGACGCTGGAGGAAGCCCTTCTCAGAGTGGTTTGGTGCACATCATCTTCCAGACTGATTGTCTGCTTGCACAATTTTGACCTTGGACGCCAGAGGAAGAACTTTAAAGACTGATGGACGCCGGAGGAAGAACTTTAAAGACTGGATGGACACTGGAGGAAGAACTTCAAAGACTGATTGTGAAGGTGTCGACAAGGACTCTTTTGAACTCGGACGCTGGAGGAAGAACTTCAAAGGTGTCATATTGTAGCGGGCTGGGACATAGATACTACTTGTATTGATGGCATTGAATGTTTACTCCTCTTCCTCTTCCTTGATGTCCTCCTCCTTTCTTTTCAGTATCGCGGCCACAGCTTTCTCCTCTGCAGCATCCCGCATCTCCTCGATGACTTCCATTGCCTCTGCATAGCCGTTCAGTTGCATGTAAACGTTCCGAATAGCATTTTCATGAAATCCGTGTTGTTTTGCGAGGTCCTTGACTGACAGCGCGAAGCCAAGCTGGGCAAAGTGCCTAACATCACTGTCGTGTATCTCGACATCCATCATAAGTTCGGGCTCTGGACTTGCATCACCGTCGCCCATCACTCTAGTTTTAGTATCGTTGTTTGTGACTGGTGTTGACATGCTTGTGGATGCTATTCTGATCTGTCAGTATCGTGGTACTGTCATCCATGAGGCCTACCTTGCCTGTGTTTGAATGAGTCTGGTGTACGATGTAGTTATGGTTGATATGGGAGATGGTGAGATTGAAGCGAGAGCCCCTTATTTGAAGTATGGCCCCTTTTTTCCTCAATGTGTTCAAACAAACACACACGCACACAAGCTTACTCCGAGCCTCCAAGTCAACAGAACGTGTAGCATTGATCATTATTCACAGAAAGCTATGGTATTACTACTAGTTACTGTCCATCGTCAGTCACGGACCACGAGTCCAGTCGTCAATTCGATGTATTTCTTCGCAATGGCAGATGGCTTCGTCATCACATGCTCCTCTCCTCCTCGCCGGTAAGTGAAAAGGTCGTCGAATTCGGCATGGAATTCTCGGTGAGCACGCTCCACCAGTGCAGCATGTTCTGCCTTGCGCTCATCACGAAGTTTGTGGACAATGGCAGTGAATTTCATCCGCTCACCATTGTCAGCCGTAAAGTCTGCCCAGAATTGATCTGGGGTGCCCCGCCTGTAGCGTTCGATGACATCCTGCACAACCAGAAGGAGGATCAGAAGTAGGAAGGGAAGTTGTGATAGAGGCACTCACCCGCCAGTCGGTCCACTTGCTTTTCGTACCCTTCCATTGCTGATCATGACCGTAGCGGTAGAGCAATGGCCAGTACGTGATAGCGATGGGGTGGCCTTGAATGGTGATGATGGACTCGTTCTTCCAGTGCGTCGTGTGGTCGTCCCACATTGCATTGAGACGTAGTATATCATTGGCGAAGCTGACAGCAGGGGGATCTGGGATGTCGTTATCCGCCAGTTGGAGAGTAGTGCCGTCCCCGAGATTGAGAATGCGCAGCTTGTTCAAGCTGCCTGGTTCCAAAGGAGGTTGTTGGCAGGCAGTTGTAGCTGCGCCACTCGCACCCTGCTCAAACATGCTACCGTCAGTTTGAATGGAGCGATGTGGGGGAAATAGCCACTCACCATGTCCACCGTTTCAGCCACCTGGGGTCGAACAGATGGAGACAAACCAGCAGCGCTTGGCTGGAGGGCACCTTGAACAATTTTGACAAGCCTCGTGCCCACGTTCTGGATGATGGCCTCTTCCAAGAGGCCATCAGCAGGGAAAGATTGCGGCGTGGTGTTGCTGCTAAGAGCAGGCGGGTTTGGGGTGCTTGCTGGCATGGGCATACCGTCCAGTCAGTGCATACGTATACATGCTGGTGATGGTATCAGCCTGCCCGCCAGTGTATTCAGTTCAGTGGGACAAAGCCAGAGTGAGCACGAAAGTACTCACCCAAGGCAGCAGTGCGCTGATTTCTGGTGCCGTCCGTGTGTCCTTGGACCGACTGACGTCAGTGGCTGCAGCATCAGATGCTGTCGTGCCAAGCAGCTGCTCACGGCGCTGCATAGATTGCTTTGGGCGGCTGCCTGCCTTGGGCTTGCTTGTCGAACGCACTCGCGGGCCCTTGTGGGCCTTGTGAGCCCCTGGTTTGAGCCTTGGGAAGGAGATGGATGAGTGAACATTATTTTGAGCAGACTGCTCCAGACGCACCTGTCCCATGCATCGCGGTTACAACTGAATTCCTCCAGTCGTTCGCGAAGGACTGTCTTGTTACCAGAGGTAGGGAGGCCAAGTTGGACACACTTTTGCTTCAGGGTTTTTCCAGCCATACTGTAGCTGCATGATGCAAGGATTCAGCCCACCGAAAAGCAAAGGAAAGGGGAACAACAGCCTCACATTTCAACATGCTCGATTTCTGGCTCTCCATCCGATCGAAAGCGGAGCAGGGAGAGGCAGGGACCCTGATGGCCCATCGACATTTTCGACCGTGCCAGCCACGCTCCAGAAAGACCCATGTTCAGCAGTAGACCCTGCTGTAGCAGTGGTGAGCTGGGTGCGGAGATCAGGAGAGGGCGTCAAAGTAGTAATGGACGTCATTCCGAACGTCACGGTCGCGATGGCGGATGGGAATGAGGCAAGGACAACAGTTGCAGAACGAGTTGACAGGGATCTTTGGCCTCCACCAGTGGTAGGTGACCAGGAGGCCGAGAGAGAGTAACACAGCGACGAGGATGAGCGCTCCGCCCACGTGCAGGCCTCCTGAGGGGCTTGCAGAGTCGTTTGACTCGTTCCTGCGTGCGATCTCGCTGTGGAGGACAGCGAGAGGGATATTGATCTGGGGAAAAGCAGGCGGGTGTCAGCAATCGTCCTAGCCAAAGAACGTACAGCAGAAAACGGCCCAATGGAACGACGACGACGACGACGAACGGGGCTGAGACCGACGTTCGATCTGCGGCTGCGGTTCCGGGGGTCTGCGCCACCGCGATCGAAGCAAGAAAGACGTTCGTCGCTCACGTCATCGGACGAAACGGAGAAACCCGAAGCGTCACGCCCGCAAACGGACCGTGTTGTTTTCGAGAGAAGTTACACCTGCACCTTTTACCGAGCCACGGATCCGGCACGCACTTAAGACTCGCGTGAATTTTTGCGATGATGCATTAGCCACCAATAGGAAGATTCATAGACATCTGCCACATCTTTCAATTTGTAGGTCAGTACATGGTCAACAACGACTACATGGCAACTTTCGGAATCGTTGACTCAACTTGTGACCCAAACTTACAGAAATGTGCCCTAATTTTAATTAGTTCAGAGCGTTCAAGTCCAGCCTCATGTGAGAGGCCTCAGTCGCGTCGTTTAGGTTATCATGGCAGCAGAGGCACCATGCTACACAGTCGTATTTGAAGATACTACAGAGCCCAACCACGCAGGAGCTTAGGGCTTCTCTCGAGAAAGGGACTGACGAAGACAGACTGGATACGTTGCGCAGGACTATTGTGTCGACGATTAATGGGAACCCTCAGGTATGCTCCTTGATCTTTGCTATTGACCGCATGATGCTAATGCAATAATGGTGGCCTAGCCCACACTCTTGATGCCAATCATACAATATATAATGCCCTCCAGAACAAGCAACTCAAAAAGCTGCTTCATTTCTACTGGGAGGTGTGTCCCAAGTATGACGAGAACGGGAAGCTTAAGCAGGAGATGATTCTCGTCGTGTACGTGTATCTATTAATCTTATCGCACATATATACTCACCTAGTCCAGCAATGCCATCCTAACCGACCTGGTAAGACTAATTCCCGCACTCTTGACGTTCTACTCTTCACATTCCTACAGCAACACCCCAACGAATATATCCGTGGCGCTAACCTACGCTTCCTTCAAAAGATATCCAAAGATGCCGAACTCCTTGAACCTCTCATCCCCACCTGCCGCAGCTGTCTCGAGCACCGTCATTCCTACGTCCGCAAGAACGCCGTATTTGCTGTGTACACTATCTACCGCGAATACGAACACCTCATCCCAGATGCTCCCGAGCTCATGCAGACTTTCATTGCCGCAGAGTCTGACGCGACGTGCAACCATAGCGCATTCGTGTTCCTCGCGCATTGCGCGATGCCTAAAGCTGTGGAGTGGTTGAGTAGCGTGTATGATCAGCTGACGAATCTAGATGAGCTCTTGCAAATGAGCATCATAGAAGTCATCAGGTTGGATTGTAAGAACGACACAACGCATCGAGTAAGTCCTCTTCACTCGGGCTATCTTGTCTATCCTCATTTTTGTCCTTGCAGCCGCGATATATCAGGTGCATGTTTGAATTGTTGTTGAATTCATCATCACATGCAGTAAAATATGAAGCTGCTACGACGCTCACCACACTCACGCAGAATTCTGCTGCTGTGAAAGGTATGTTTACGATCAGGTCTTGTGCGCATGTCTGCTTACTTTTATGATTAGCGGCCGCCTCGTGCTTTGTTAATCTGGTCATTAAAGAATCCGACAACAACGTTAAGCTGATCGTCCTGGATCACCTGGATACCCTACGCTCCAAGCATGGTCATATTCTAGATGGACTGACAATGGACATCTTACAGGTCTTGTCGAGGTACGAACAGTGATCGATCAATATCCAAAAATTGTTACTGAATCCTATCGTATCAGCGCCGACATGGAGGTCTGAAGGAAAGCAATGAGCATCGTACTCAGCATGACCTCGAATCGGAACGTCGAGGAAGTTGTTCTCTTCCTCAAGAAGCAGCTACAGCAGACACAGGAACGCGAGTTCGAGAAGGTCAGTCTCGCAGTCCTGCACGATATCGTGGACTAATATTGGGATAGGCCCTGGAGTACAGGCAACTTCTAATCCAATCGATCCACGTGTTAGCAGTCAAGTTTTCTGAGGTGGGCTGCAAGTGTTGTCCATGCACTCATGGAATTCCTTGGGGATTCGAATAACCCTTCTGCGCTAGACGTCGTGGCCTTCGTTCACCCTCCTAACCCCCGCACCTTATTTTATTAACGCACCCACAGCGAAGTAGTGGAGAAGTTCCCGCACCTCCGGCAGGTCTATATGTGAGAAGCTCGCTTAAACTCTGACAGAGATAAAATCCGGTAAAGCCTTCCGCGGCGTCCTCCGGATCCTGGGCGAGTACGTCGAAGGCCTGTCAGACATCCAGGCCACATTCCAGGACATCCGCAAAGTGCTTGGCGAGATCCCTATCCTTGCGAGCGAGCAGCGGTTACTGGACGAGGCTGGCGGAGAGGAGGACAAGAAGGAGGACAAGAAAGTCGAGGGAAGCGGGCGGGCCAAAGGTACTTGCTGACGGACATATGCGACGGAGACGGCGTACACTAATGCCACCTCAACGAGATTAGAGGCTGTCAAGGCTGCGTCCAAGCCGCCATTGAGAGGTGCGTGGCGTGCCTGTTCATTTCGTTCGGGAACTTTCAATGATGTCATGTCAGCCCTCATATTGGGAGGCGACTTTTCACGGGTTCGGTCTCGCCTTGGCGCTGATGAAGCTCGTGTTGCGGTTTGATGACCTTACAAACGACCGGCCAAAGGCCAACGCTCTTCGTGCTGAGGTATGTACTACGGTTAATGTTTTATAGCATTCACCGATGCCCACCCAGTCCATGTTGATCATGACGTCTATTATCCGCGTCGGCCAGTCGAAGTTGTCGCGGGTACCGATCGACGAGGATTCCAACGAGCGTTTTCTTAATTGCATACAAACCCTAAGCGAGCTCCAGGAAAAGTCCATTGTTCACGATATCTTCTTGAAGGACACAAAAACGGCATACTCCAAGATGCTCGTCGCTCAGGAGGTGCGTGCCTAGTCTACTTCAAGCTGTGATGTTGCTGATGATCGGACAAGACAAACGGCACCCAGCGGAGAAGAAGGAGTCGGAAAGCACGCAGGAACATGTCGTGCAAGTCGATGATTTGCTTACTTTCAGGCAGTTCTCGAAAAAAGTCGCATATCCCAGCTCACAGGTATGTCTTGTAGTGCCGCCGTCATCTGTTTCAGTGCTCATCATTCTAGTTTTTCGGATCCTATATATGCGGACGCATATGTCAAGATGCACGGATTCGATATCATGCTTGGTGTGTATAATTCCCTTGATGGGTTATTTCATCGGCGAAACTCATTAACGGTACTCAGATGTGCTTCTGGTCAACCAGCAACGTCTAATACGCTGCAGAATCTTTGTCTTGACTTC